ATCACTTCAGTCCCACAGGAGATTCAAGGTCCTGTCCTCTGCTAGCCCAGGGCAGAGGTTGGCTACATGTCCTGAAAATGCTGGATCCTGGGCTCCCTCTGGAGGAGACTAGGACTGAAATGACTTTGAAGGGAATGCTGCTGAGAAGCCACAAGCCATTGGATACCTGTAGTCTTTTTTTTTTTTTTTTTTTTTAAAAACGCGTAAGGGCGGTTTATTCAGACTAACCTAGGCTCCTAGCCCAGCAGGACAGGGGAAATCTGTAGTCTTAATATTGCTACCCAGAAAGTGAAATCAATACTAGCGTGCTACATGTCCCACCCCACCGGTGAAATCATTATTCAGTGTTTAATAATTCATTCACAAAGTAAACATATTTCAGTGTCACTATATACTAGGCACTGTTCTAAGCGTGGAGAACACAAAATCCCTATCCTCAGAGAGTCTTATTTCAGCAGAAGGAAACAGTCAAGAGGATGAATAAGTAGCACATGTAGCTTTTCTGAAAGGGAAATGCTATACCAAATAAGGTAACACAAGAAGGTAGCAGGAATGGGAGAGTTTCAACTTTCAGGTAAGTGGAGTGGAGCGGAGCCTTTCTATATCCACGTATGTAAAGGAGAGCAGAGGGGTTGTGTTGAGTGACTGAAACAGGCCAAGGCGGTGCCCTCAGCAAAATTTCTAGAACGAAAAACAGTATGGGTGGGCGAAGGCTCTGACAGGACAGCACAGCTGTTGGGCTCTAGAAACTGCAATAGAGCCAGTGGGCTAGAGAACAAGCAACAAGGAAACAGTAAAGGAGGGGCAGTGGCAAAGTGCGGAGGGTTTTGCCGACTATGATAAGGTTATGGCTTTTTTTCTGGGTGGAGAGGTGGGACAAGTTGAGCAGAACAGTGGCATCATCTGGTTTAACCTGTATTAAGAACTCATCAAGTGGAACAGAAGGAGAAACAAGCAGAACCATAGTAAGGCAAGAGATGCTATGAGGAGCAGTGGAGGGGTAAAATGTGGTCAGAGCCTGGAAAATACTCGAGAGATTGAACTGAAGGTTCTACTATACATATATTTCCAACCCCTTTTTACATTCTAACCTATGATTAGCTACATTTTTGCATCTGTAAGTTAACAGCAGCCTATGATAATCATGTGACTGATCACAGTGTTTTTTCAAAGCATGGCCTGAGAATTTCAAGGGACTAGGCTAGTGCTGTGTCAGTGGGTTGGGCCTCAACCCACAATGCTAACATCCCACATGAGCAGGAGTTGGAATCTCAGCTGCTCTGCTTCTGATCCAACTACTTGCGGGTGTGCCTGGGAAGGCAGGAGGCGGTCCACCTGTGAGTCCCCAAATCCAAAGTGGGAAGCTTGGATTGCATTGCAGGCTCCCTGGTTTTAACCTGGCCCAGTCCCAGCAGTTGCAGCCATTAGGTGAGTGAATCAAAAGGCAGAAGAACCTTTTCTATGTCTTCTTCTCTGTGTAACTCTGCTTTTAAATAAATAAATATATATTTTTAAAAATTCCATTAGCTAACTTTGTTTAAGAAATTAAGTTAAGGGACTAGCACAGTGGCCATGGCTAAAGTGCTCGCCTTGAATGCCCGGGATCCCATAATGGCCCCAGTTCTAATCCCAGCAGCTCCACTTCCCATCCAGCTGCCTGCTTGTGGCCTGGGAAAGCAGTCGAGGACGGCCCAAAGCTTTGGGACCCTGCACCCGTGTGGGAGACCTGCAGGAAGTTCCTGGCTCCTGGCTTTGGATTGGCTCAGCACTGACCATTGCAGTCACTTGGGGAGTGAATCATCAGACGGAAGATCTTCCTCTCTGTCTCTCCTCCTCTCTATATATCTGACTTTGAAAAAAAAATCTTTAAAAAAGGTGTGGCTTTTTCAAGTTTAAAGAAAATGTTAACTGTATGCAGAACCTTGTCTTCAGCTGAGCTCTGCTCTCTGTCTTTTTAAATTTTAGGGTACCTTCACAGTATCATCGTAATCCCAGAGCTCTTCTTCATCTCTGCAATACATGCTTTCTTTATCCTTGGACGTCCTGCCTGAGTCAACTGATGCCAAGGGATCCCCTGAACTGGGCCACCTTTTCCGTGTTTGTTTGTTAGTTTGTTCTTTCATTCTGGCTTGCTGGAAAACTGTGGCCTTCTCCATCATCTTCATTCTCTTTTACTTTCTCAATTTCTCCTTCTGGTTCAGAATTTTCTTTTCTTCCTCTTTTCTTTCTTTCTTTCTTTCTTTCTTTCTTTCTTTCTTTCTTTCTTTCTTTCTTTCTTTCTTTCTTTTTCTTTCCTCTTGGAGGTTCACATTCTCCAAGTGTATTTTTAAAACAGGCATAATTTAATTGCGTACTTTCCCCAAATTCGTGGCACTCAGGCTTGTTTTCACCTTTGGATGAGTTCAACTGCTCTGCTGCTGTTGATAGCAACATCTTTTATTACTCTTCCAAATGACTGTTGTTTATTACCCTACTGCACTTCTGCACACTCTATACAAAACAACAAGAACACAACCTCTTTACTCTCTACCTTTATCTTTCATTGTAGTTACCTTTACAACTTGGTCACACTTGGAAATAACCAGTGTGTGTCACTGTTGGAGACATACACTGTGCTCCTGCATGATGCTTGTCCACCACTCACTTTGTAACCTTGACTTCTGCTTCTGCTGCCTCCTTGCTGTGGCCCAGGCATCCCTAGTCCTCACAGGAGCAAGTCCAAAAAGCAGACCCTAGCAGCCACTGGCCTGGTGGGCAGCAGCCCTCTCCCTAATTCCTTACCTTAACTTTTAGTTCTAACCATGACTGAATAACAGGTATTGAGTCTAACTGTAAACAATAATAAAACTAGGTATAATACATAATTGTTTTCAAACACTGAAGAGTAGCTAAGGGTCAGTTGCACTGGAAATATAACAATAGCTCTAAACATATAGGCTTCTAATTGAGCTTCAAAAACACATAAAGCAACCACTGACATAGATGACAGAAGAAACTGACAAATCCACAATTATAGTTTATGATTACACTATTCTTTCACTACTAATATTTTTTTTTCTTTTCTTATTTCCCACTACTACTGATAAATGTGACAATGCTCAAAAAGTTTCAAATTTTGGAGCATTCTGGATTTCAGATTTTTGGATTAAAGTTGCTCAAGTTATATAGAAAGTCCTAAAGAATATTTTTAAAAAATAGAGCAGAAGGGAAGGGAGAGAAAAAAAGTAGGAGTGACAGGGTCCTGCATAATAGGCTAATGGTTAAAGTCCTCGCCTTACAGATGCCAGGATCATATGGGCACTGGTTCTAGTCCCGGCAGCTCCACTTCCCTTCCAGCTTCCTGCCTGTGGCCTGGGAAAGCAGTTGAAGATGGCCCATTGGGACCCTGTACCCATGTGAGTGACCCAGAAAAAGCTCCTGGTTCCTGGCTTCAGATCAGGTCAGCTCTGGCCATTGCAGCCACTTGGGGAGTGAACTAGCAGATGAAAGATCTTTTTGTCTCTCCTTCTCTCTGCAAGTCTGACTTTCCAAAATAAATAAATTAATTAATTAAAAAAAAAAACCAGAGTGACAGAAAGAAGGAACCTACTAAAAAAGTAAATTTTGCAAGGTCCCAGGAGAAAACATTAATACAAAACAACTGTACCTCTGTAAGCTACCAATAGATAACTGGAAGATGAACTTTAAAAGGAAAAAATAGACAAATTAAAAAGTTCAAAAAATGTAAAAGCAAAACTATTTGTAATGTCATAAAAAACAAAATACATTAGAATAAATTTAAGATGTAAGATTATAAGAAAATATTGCTTAGTGAAATTAAATCTAAATTAATGGAGAGATTATATATTCTCGTGTATGGGAAATCTCACTATTGTTATGAAATTCATGCTCTTCAAATGATGTATCAAATTCCCAAAAATGAAGCTGAAATTCTAGTAAGCATTTCTACACAAATTGACAGTCATTTACATTGTTGCAAGCATAAACAAATACGTAAATATGACAGGCAATGGCCAGACTTGTAACTATCAAAATCTACCACAGTGACTAATCTAAATTACTCTGGAAGGAATTAGTTGTTAGAGCTAAGAGGGAGACTGCTACAAAGGCATATATGTATAACCAGCCCAGTCATTATTTTTTAAAAGATAAATGTCACAATATTTTAATAGAGATGAAACTTTCACTTGCTTTTTCATGTTTATTTAGTAAGAACAAACCTATATAGAGTAATGCAATTTCTCAATTTTTTAAAGAAAAGGACAATTTAGAAGTTTGGTTGTGTTATAATTTAAATGTATGCTACTAGAAATGCAAACCAGAAATCTATGCTAATGCTTTTTGGAGAGGAAAGTCGGGGAGGTCATTTGGGTGGTGTCCCCACCATGGCATGAAGGACCCTGTAAGGAAAGGCAGACCTGAGCCAGCCTGCAGGTTCTATCTGCCCTTTGACCCCTTCCACCACCTCACCACGCAGCCCCTGTCACATGCTAGCACCATATTCGTGGATTTTCTTCAGAACTGTGAGGTTAATAAACTTATATTCTTTACAGATCACTGTGCAGTTATAGCATCATGACGGACTAAGGAAGTAGTGTACCCTCCTGGGTTGGGATATGATTTGTTTTATGAACTAGGATAAGTCTGCAGGCATAAAAGGCACTATCAGATTGAACTACGAAAATGCAAGAGTGCTGGCAATTGTTTGAAAGGGTATAATAATTTAACATTTGAGTATTATATCACTTTGTTATTTTTAAAATACTTTTACTGCTGATCCACAGAACAAATTTTTTCAACATGTATTGATAACAAATAGCTTTTAAAACAACAAGTCAGGTATTTCCTGAAGAACTGAGGTCAGAAAGCCTGGGCGTTCTAGGAGATAACTAACGCCCAGGCTGTGTGACCACGAGAGGCAGAGATCAGTGTAAGCACAGTGCATGTCCTGCGACAGGATGTGACACCACTTAGCAATCATACCAAGAACAGAGGCAGGCAGAGAGGAGATGGATGACTTTATACACTCCCAAGCAAAGCACACAGAGATATTAGAAGAAAGAATAAAACTGAATATACTGTGATAACAAGACAATATGTATGATGTTGCATGGCTGTTGTACATAAAAAAAGGGAAGAGTTGTCAATTTGTATTTTTAAGAGAATTTGAAAGACACTACCAGAAAAAAAATCTGTTCCTCTTCAAATTCTTCCCCTCATAATGGCCATCTCCACCCTAAAATTAGAAACCAAGCTAGTAAGAACCAAGAATAAAAATGTAAAATACTCTGATTATATGTAAATTATTAAATTATAAACATGCCAGTCAGGCTAAAAGATTGGCTTCAATGTTTTGCTTAGTTTCCATCCTTATAAGCAATCTTCACAATATACTTGAGTGCCACTCCAGAATATCTAGTGTTTTTTTTTTCAGAACATCTAGTATTAAAACAAACTCAGAGCTGTGACATACTAGGCTAAGCCTCTGTCTATGGTGCCTGAAACCAGTATGTGTACAAGTTCCAGTCCTATCTGCTCCTTTTGCAATCTCCAGCTCCCTGCATATGCCCTGGGAAAACATCAGAGGATAGCCCAGGCCTTGGGACCCTACACCCACAGAGGAGGCTGACCCCAAGGTAGCTCCTAGCTCTTGGCTTTTGGACTGGCCCAGCTCCAACTACTGCAGCCATTTGAGGAGTGAACCAGCAAGTGGAAGACCTTTCTGTCCCTTTCTCTGTAACTCTACCTTTCAAATAAAAATAAATCCTAAAAAAAAATGAAGTGGTGCAACCAAGGTCACACGGTCATCAGACAGTAGTTTTGTAGTAAATGAGTAAGAAAAAACAAAACAAAACAAACACAAGTGCTTTCAGACATTAAGCTCTCACTTCATCACACATTTAAAACTTATCTTTCTCTAACGAAAAAAGCTCTGAACCAAAGCTAAGGATGGCCAAGACTAAAATAATACATGATCAAATAAAATATGATTTAAAGTAAGCTGCAGTTTTATTAGCATGTAGTAGAAAGGCAGTTTTATAAATTCATGTTCAAATTAAGAATACATTAAAAATTTAAAGATTATAAATTTAGGTGAATATATGTATAGTCACATAAGATTTATGATGTATCTATAGCTCTTTCTAGTCGGCATTTTTGTGCATATAACATAGAAAGGATTTTTTAAAACCATACAGTGATTCTGGGATTCCCTGAATTTTTAGCTGCTGCATTTTCTACTCTATGTCTGATAGGTTCCTCTTCGTTTCAGTTTGTGTATTTCCTGTATTCTAAAAAGTAAATAGAAACAGGACCTTAATTGAGGAAATGGTGAGTGTTTGGCTAAGGAGATACAGCCAGATATAAAATACCTGTACTTTGCACCTGTGGCTTATTTGATAAGTTACAGTGGAACTCTATAATAAAGGTATTGCTCACTCTCATAATCAAACAGAAGTAAAGGTGGTGCTCCTAGGCACCCTTTCTTCCCTCTTATAGAAAGGGAGAGAGGGTCTCTTTCTGGTCAAAATGCCTAATAATGTATGCATGTACTACTTCAATATACTGCTAAGACACTTGAAAGTGTTTACTATACAGTTGCAAAGTACCCAAATCTGATTAATTAAAAACAAGCACCAATGACACATCCAAGAATAGTACAATTAAGTTCCCTATCTCGAATTTTAAAAATGTCCTATTTTCTTAAGACTCTAAATTATAGGCTCCAAATTCTGGACATTTTCTTATTTCTGACATTTAATGTTTATGTTTATCTAACTGAAAGGCAAAACCATGCAACAGAGACCCAGCCAGACACAGTAAGTCATCTTCCTGGTCACCACAGCCATGGTTGAGGCAGGAGCCAAGAAGTCCACCTGGGACTGACGCATGAGTGGCAGGGGCCTGAGCATTCCATCCCAGCCATCAGTGGCTGCCTCTCAGGATACCCTAGCAGGAAGCTGGACTGGAAGCAGAGAAATAGGACTCAAATAGGCACTCTGATACAGGGCGCAGTGTCTCAGAGCCTGCCCTGACACTAATTTAACAAAAATGTTTGTCCTACCCTTACATGGTATTTCAGTCACTTGACAAACTGCTTTTAAAGGACAAATAAACCACGTAACCAACGACGGTGACTTCTGGTTTTGTCTAATAATCTTTCATTTCAAGGTCATTTTTCTTTAAAGTTCATCTTTTCAGGAGGTCCAGTCATAGGAGAATTGTTTACTGACTGATTTTAAAGTGACAGAACAATCTTAGGAGCTTGATTTTCTTGTATTAGAATATAATTTCAGTTCCTGGGAGCTCTCGTAGGTCAGCAGGAGGAGCACACGCAACATGGGACCATTCTGTCAGGAACCCTACTCCACCCAGTCATTCAAATTACGTGTACATGAGTAAGTCACCTAAAGGTCAACATTTAAAGCCACCTTACAACTTTATGAACTCAAGCATAACCACTAACAGCTGCCTTGTTGTACAGTATTTATTTTCGGTAAAGTGAACTGTGGAGTTAACAAGTTCTAGACCAAGATGAATACACAGCCCTAATGTCACTATGAGAATACACCTAACAGTGTCTGATAACTCACTCCAATGTTTCAGAGACTGGTTTTCTTTAAAATGTCTTCTTAAAAAGCTTCATATCAGGTTTTATAGATTTTTAACTTATTGACATTTCCTTAGTAAATATGCAAAATTTCATTATTTACAACATGTAATTCATTTGACTTTAAAAAAACAGAGATAATGCGGTTCCTAAATCACACAAAGAGCTCATGGGTGTGGATGAAAAGGCCATCTACAGCACATTTTAATTAGGACAGTGCTCTGCAGTCTCCTTCCCTTTTAAGAGCATTTTAAGGGAGTATCAATTTGGGTACTGAACACTACAAGATTTCCAAGCAAAATTCAGTTTCTTTGTGGTGGGCAGGATCTGGGGATATTTCAGCAAGATTACTGATACGTAGTGGTAAAAACAGAGAGATGGCGGGATAGAGGGGGAAATGGAGAGAGAACAAGGAAGGAGAATGCTGCAAGTTCCAATGTGCTGCTGCTGAGTCAATCATACCACACCACGTTTGTTCTCGCCGGCAGGGTTTACCTGCCTGACGCGTGACAATACTCACAGCAGAGCTACTACTTTTCCTGGGGACATAGTTCAACATTCACATAAGAGCTGGCACTCACTGCCCCAAGAAGTACTTCTAAAAACTGTTAGTAACTGATTATTTTTGAAGATATTGACATGTTTCCAGAGTCCAAGGATTGCAAATTTTCATGTTTTTTATCAGTTTTCTAACAGTAACAACTAAATGAATAAACTGAGAAAAACTCTACGTAACATTTCTTAAAAACACTATGAAACAAAAGCAAGTGTTACCTCTTGTTTTTCCTGATTTTGGTCGATGTGAAGTTTGTATTTTAGACAAATCTGTTTTCTTTGAATCCTTCTTCAGCATTTTTATCTGTTTAACTTTTGCAAAATATATAAAATAATGATAATTTGTTATTCCTAGCTTGAAACTTTACTTTCAAGAATTTCAAAAGATTATGACGTCCACTGAAGTCACAATTATTCACCTGATAACGTCAAAGAAAGTCTATCAGTATTTAAAGGAGACATGCGAACAGACAAGTGGTGCAGCAGTCAGGGTGCTCCTTGGGCAGCCCTCATCAGCTTCACTCTTGGGCCCAGTTTCCTGCTCAAGTACCCAGTGGATGGCAGCAGGTGACAGCCCAAGTCCTTGCCCTCTGCCAACCACATGGGAGACGTGCATGCAACGGCTCAATTGGCTAATCCTCCCCCTTCAAGCTCCGAGATACTATATGGGTACTGGTTCATGTCCTGCCTGCTCCACCTCCCATCCAGCTCCCTGTTTGTGGCCTGGGAAAGCAGCAGAAGGAAGCCTAAAGCCTTGGGACCTGACACCCAAGTGGGAGACCTGGAAGAGGCTCTGGTTCCTGGCTTTAGATAAGCTTAGTTCCAGCCATTGCAGCTACTTGGGGAGTAAACCCATGGATGAAAGATCTTTCTGTCTCTCCTTCTCTCTGTAGATCTGCCTTTCCAATGAAAATAAATAAATCTTCAAAAAAATTATACTCTTGCTATTATATTAACTTTTCACAAGATGTCACTATTCTTCAAAGAAACATTTACTCAAGGCCATAAAATAGCTTCACTTTAAGATAAACTGTAGAGTAATAAATCTTAAGCTCCTGAATCCTTGGGTGCCTGAAGCACAGCTAACATTCTTGCCCTTGGTTGTACAGCTGCTCCGGGAGGATTACAAAGGGAAGTGACTCCAGATAGGCCATGCAGCCAAAACCACCTTCCTCAAACACTGTCCCCCTAACAACCCTAAACAAATTAAAAACCTACTCTCTTAAAGGCTGTCCTAAACTACCTTTAAAATTATTTTCTCTAAATTCCACTCCTTGCTTGACAAGGGGAAGAAAACCTCATGCATTGAAAATCTTTCTCTCAGTACTTCACTATATTTTAGCTCCATTACATTTACAAGTTATTTATTTTAAAATTATTTTTAAAAGATTTAGTTTACTTATTTGAAATTCAGAGTTATAGGGAGATGATATATGGGGAGAGAGAGAGAGAGAGATCTTCCATCCCCAATGATTGCAATGGCAGGGGCTGGGCCAGGCTGAAGTCAGAAGCCAAGAGCCAGAAACTTCATCTAGGTCTCATGTTGCTACAGAGGCTCAAGCACTTGGACCATCCTCTGCTGTTTTCCAAGGATGTTAGCAGTGAGATGGACTGGAGGTGGAGCAGCCAGGACTCAAACTGGTGCCCATGTGGAATATTGGTGCTGCATGTGGCAATCTGTTATACCACAGCACCAGCCCCAAGATATACTGTAAATTTATATCATCCGGAGATTTGTAAAACTATGTAAAATATATGTACCTTCCATTCCTTTCATCTCCTTAGACTGTATTGTGAAAGGCAATTCTGGGAAATGAAATTCCTTTCTGTCAGGTCTGGAAAAATTCACCTTCCTTTTGTTTCCAATTGCCATCTGGCCACTTTGACCCTTAAATACATTCTTCTCTATTTGGCTCTAAATAAACAAACAGACAAGAGTTAGTTTGAAGAAACATATGCATGACTATCTGTAGAAGACTAACTCCACAACTGCCTACCATTTGGATAACAGAAGACAGCCATAAAATTTATTTAAAAAAAATAGAAAGCTATAATCTTAACTTTTAAATAATAAAAAAGCTTATTTGCTTGAAAGTCTTACAGAGAGAGCAAGTAAGAGAGAAATCAGACAGAACTCTTCCATCTGTTAATTTCCTCCTCAAATACCCATTAAAGTCACAGCTATGCCAGATTGAAGCCGGGGAGCCAGGATCTCAATTCTGGTCTCCTTTGTGGGGTACAGGGACCCAAATCCTTGAACTATTATCCCTGCCTTACAGGATGTATAGTAGCAGTAAGCTGGAATCAGGAACAAAGTCAAGTCCAGACATTTAGTTTTGAGAATCAGGTATCCAAAGTGGTATCATAAAGGCTAGGCCAAACATCTGTCCCCTAACTTTAATCTTCACTACATTTACTACACCCTGAACCAAGTGTTTCAGTTAATTTTACTAGCAACCTATTTTTCTATTATAGAATGACATGTTTTATAGTCATTGAGGAAAAAAACACAAAACAAACAACAACATCCTATTTGTGTACCCAGCACCTGTAAAATTTTGGTATTATCTATTTTTGCTCTCTTCACAACAGTACATAAAAATATTTCATAGTCAATGAGTGCTTCCACAATGTAATGATGTAATGTACGATGTCCCACTGTAAGGCTATGACTAACGTTCTTTCACACACACACATACACTTAGGTTTATGTATTTGAATGGCAGTGTGACATAGGGAGAAGGAGAGACAAAGAAAGATCTGCTACATGCTGGCTTATTCCCCCAAATGACTAGAACAGCCAGGAATGGGCCAGGACAAAGCCAGGAGTAAGGAACTCCATCTGGGTCTACCACACGGGTGGTAGGGGTCCAAGCACTTGGGCCATCTTCTGCTGCTTTCCCAGGGAGGCAGGGAGCTGGACCAGAAGTAGAATAAGTTAGAACTCAAAGCAGTGTTCCTAAAGGTGGCTGTTCTTACTCAATCACTTGTTCTTAGATAGGTTTTTACTGTTTTTAATTAAAAATATTTTTTTGAAGGGCAGAGGGACAGGAGATAGGGAACAAGCCAAGCTGGGAGGTAGACACTCAATACAGATTTTCCACATGGGCGAGAAACAAGGACCCAAGAACCTGAAGCCTCCCAAGAACCATGTTACCTCCCAGTGTATTTATTAGCAGGATACTGGAATCTAGAGTAGAGCTGGGACTTGAATCCAGGCAGTATAATACAAGATGTTGTTGACCCAACCAATACCAAACATTTAACTACCACACCAAATGCCCTTCCTTCAATATTCCACTATAAATAACACATTCAATTTGAATGAAACTATTTTCCTTTGTTAGAAAGAAAGAAAGAAAGAAAGAAAGAAAGAAAGAAAGAAAGAAAGAAAGAAAGAAAGAAAGAAAGAAAGAGAAAATAGGGAAATAAAGCAACACTGATTATTATTTTTTTCTGCTAAAAGGTAAGTTATATTTCTTTGGCAAGTGCTTTTGATCAATCTACTAAGAAAAAAAATTTTTTGGAAGTAGAAATCCATAAGTTCTTATGTCTTTAAAAGATCTTTTTATGTATGTATGTATGTATGTATGTACTTGAAAGCCAGTAAGACAGAGAGACAAAATTCTTCCATCCACTGGTTCATTCTCCAGATCCTGCAACAGCCAGGGGTGGACCAAGGCCAAAGTCAGGAGATCTATCATAATCTTCAATGTAGGTAGCAAGAACCCAAACCCTTGGTCTATCATCTATTGCCTCCTGAGCTCATGAGCAGGAAGCTGGATGAGATGCAGAGGAGCCAGGTCTCAAACTGACACTCATATGCAGGATACAGCTGTTCCAAATGGCAGCTTCATGTGCTGTACAACTCACCTGCCCCTCCTGTGAATTTTCAGGGTAGAAACCTTAAGAACAAGTCATACATTAAGTGCATGGATAAGGGATCAGCACCATGGCAAGATAGACTAAATCTCCACATGTGATGCTGGCATCCCACATAGGCACTGGCCTGTGTCCTGGCTATTCCACTTCTCATCCAGCACCCTGCTCACAGCCTGAGAAAGCAGTGGTGGATGGTCCTAGGCCTTGGGACCCTGCACCCACGTGGGAGATACACAGCAAGCTCGTAGTTCCTGGTTTCAGATCAGCTCAGCTCTTGCTGTTGTGGATATGTTGTGGAGTAAACCAGAGGATAGAAGATCTCTGTCTCTCCATTTCTCCTTCTCTTTGTAACTTGTTTGAATAAAAATAAATCTTTTTAAAAATGCATAAATAAGAAAACATAAATTAACTAAAACTGTGAAAGCTCTAAGGAAATGATAGCTTATCTGTAAATCAAACAAAATTTAAAGCAAAATTTTTACAGTGTTAGAGCCCCCAAAGCTTAAAAAAAGAAGAAAGGGAGGCCCCATTGGAACAACTAGCTTCTTGCCTTACTTGCACGGGACCTCCATCCTCCTGCCTGTTGTCAGACACAGCTTGTCCAACATACTGTAAGGAAGTGCGTCTCCTTTTTGCTCTTTCAGCTAACCTGTTATTCAAAAATGAATGAGAAATTATCAGAACTCCCCCCACAGTGCCTTTATCTGCAAGAACAAATAAGTTACAGCATGAAAACTTACTGTTTGAACAGTGAGCACCAAAATGCAAAGTTCAGCCCTCAAGTGCTCCAAGGGGGCAACACAGGACCATAGGGAGAGAAGTATCACCCGGCTAACACAGTGGTGACAGTCCTCTGATGGAGTCACTCCTGCTGCAAAACTGGTTCCCTTCTGCATTTTCTGAAGCTGGATCTCCTAAGCACTGGGTTTCCCAGTTTAGGAGCTTGCTGTTCAAGATCTGCTCACCACAATTACTGGCATCAGCATGACCGCATGGTGCAGCCTGCTCTACCTCTGGACTGACACAGATCAGGGCACTGGCCCACCTCTGCAGCCCAAACCTGACTGCTGGAATTTGCTTGGGCTAGTGAATGCAGTTTCCTCACCTAGATTCACAGTTGTCTCCCTACATTGAGCCTTGGTCCAAATTCCTTGTTAGACAAATCCTCAGCAGAGGTCACACCGCTTATGATTAAGTGGACTCATATTAAGTGCACTGTTTTTCAAACTCTTTCGGAGGCTAAATGCAAAACTGGCTCAATAGAATATTTGAACTTGAAAAGCCACTTAACTATAAAGAAAAAAAATTGTTTTATATCCTTTCTCCATTAAGAGAATTTGCTATAAAACAAAGTTCACTTTATTTGTTTCCAAAAGGTTGGTGTGCTAGAACATTGGTCTCTACTGATGACAATGTAGAGAGGTGGCAAAACTTAGAAGGGGTGGGGACTTGGGAGAACTGATTTGGTATTTAAGGACAACTCACAGTGGTTGGGTAGGGAAGGAGGTAGAGGACACAAGGATGGCTCAGTAGCTAATCCTCCACTTAAAGCACCAACATCCCATATGGACGCCTGTTCATGTCCCGGATGTTCCACTTCCCATCCAGCTCTCTGGTTAAAGACTATAAAAGCAGCTGAGGGGCCCAGCGCGGTGGCGCAAGTGGTTAAGGTCCTCGCCTTGCATGCCCGGGATCCCATATGGGCGCCGGTTCTATCCCAACTGCCCCGCTTCCCTTCCAGCTCCTTGCTTGTGGCCCGGGAAAGCAGTCGAGGACGGCCCAAAGCTTTGGGACCCTGCACCCGTGTGGGAGACCCAGAAGAGGCTCCTGGCTTCGGATTGACATAGCATCGGCCCGTTGTGGTCACTTGGGGAGTGAATCATCGAATGGAAGATCTTCCTCTCTGTCTCTCCTCTCTGTATATCCGCCTTTCCAATAAAAAAAAATAATAATAAAAACAAATCTTTTAAAAAAAAAAAGCAGCTGAGGATGGCACAAAGCCTCGGGACCCTGTACCAACACAGGGGAACTGGAAGGAACTCCAGGCTTCAGATCAGCTCAGTTCCAGCTGTTCCTGCTGCCATTTGGGGAATGAACCAGCAGATAGAAGATCTTTCTATCTGTCTCTCCATAAATCTGTCTTTCCAATAAAAATAAGTAAATCTTTGAGAGAGAGAGAGGGAGAAGGCTGGTTCTAAGAGCTGAGCTGTGCATAGCCTCTCTCTGCTTGCTCATTCACTGCGTTGTGACCTTTCCTCTGTACATGGGCCGCAATTACCACCCTCCATCAGATGGCAGGCTACAGGAGTCTCCAAAACTATGTGCTGAAGTAAACCACCCTCCTGCCTAAAAAGCCTTTCTCAGATATTTTAGTTAAGGTAATAAAAAGGTGACTCAAGGATATATATAAAAATCACATTTACAGTGTCTGTAAACTAAACTTGAAAAAGATGTTATATTTATATAACAGATCATTTGCTGAGGACTTCTTTTGAATGTTGTAAAAGAAATTAACCTTTCTTAGCAATACTGATGTTTAATTTGTCACTAATAGTATCTTTTTGAAACAACTTTTTTTTTTTAAGTCTCTTAGAAAAGTGTCTTTTTTTTTTTTTAAGAGAAACACAATGCTGTGACCTAAGTTCTTGTGTATGCCCTGGAGACTCATTCTGTTTTGTTTCTATAACAAAAAACTGAGGCTGGATACTTTAAAAAGAAAAGAGGGCTCGGAGTGATAGCATAGCAGTTAAAGTCCTTGCCTTGAACACGCCCGGGATCCCATATGGGCACCAGTTCTAATCCTGGCGGCCCCACTTCCCATCCAGCTCCTTCACTGTGGCCTGGGAAAGCAGTTGAGGACAGCCCAAAGCTTTGGGACCCTGTTCCAGGGTGGGAGACCTGGAAGAGACTCCTGCCTTCTGGCTTTAGATTGGCTCAGCTCCAACCGCTGCGGCTGCTTGGGGAGTGAACCATTGGAGGGCTGATCTTCCTCTCTGTCTCTCCTTCTCTCTGTAGATCTGCCTTTGCAATAAAAAAAAAATCTTTAAGAAAAAAAAAAAGAAAAGAGATTTGCCATTTGGGGAGTGAACCAATAGATGGAAGATCTCTTTTTTCTCTCTCTTTGCATCTCTCCATCTTTCTCTGTAATTCTGCTTTTCTTTTTTTAAATTTAATTTTATTATTGTTATTATTATTATTATTTATTGATCACATTGTATGATGACACATAGTTCTATAAGTACTGGGATTTCCCCCAGCCCTCCCCACCCCCATGGTGGTCTCCTCCACTTTGCTGTGAAACCACAGTTCAAGTTCAGTAATTCTGCTTTTCAAATAAATAAATCTTTTTTTAAGAAAAAGATTTATTGGGAACACAGATTTTACAGAGAGGAGAGACATTGGGCTCACTCCCCAAGTGACTGCAGCAGCTGGAGCTGAGTCGACCCAGAATCAGGAGCCAGGAGCTTCTTCCAGGTCTCCCACGTGGATACAGGGTCCCAAGGCTTTGGGCTTTCCTCTATTACTTTCCCAAGTCACAAGCAGGGAGCTGCAAGGGAAGCGGAACAACCAGGACATGAATCCATGCCCATATGGGATCCTGGCACTTGGAAATGGAAGATTAGCAAGTAGAGCCATTGTGCCGGTCCCCAAGGAACCACCTTCTAAGACATACCTCAATGACCCAAAGGGCCTACTTCCTAGATGGCATAATTAGATCAAATTTCCAATGAGTCATTACCATTAATTCACTATTACCACAGGATTATAGGGCCCAATCCCCCATATACACGAACCTTTGGGGGACACCCACACTATTGTCCAAATCATAACAATCATTATGAGGAATACCACATGGCTTAGGTCTGTGCTCTGTTAACAATCTCACCTTGAACTGGGGTGGGAAAAATTAGAATTGAGAGTAGTAGTCATCAAATTACTGGAAGTTAGGTTAATGGGTGGCATTGTCATACAGCTTCCAGAAGGCAGATCCTCTCTCGTGCCATTAGGATTGGTGCTTGGATTGACACAGCTTGGGGGTTCCGTGACTGCAGGTCTGCTGTCTTCAGCCACAGCATGAGCACCTTCAAGTGCTTTCTGCTGACAACTTCCATCCTCATGCTCCGTCTTTTTTGGCTCTGAAAGATCTACTTTTCCTCCTTTAACTTTAACAACTCTGACTTTGGCCTCCTTGGGCTTTTTTTCTCTTTCCATTTCCTGGGATAGATACATTAAAAATCTTAGCCATTAGAAATTATTTTTGTCTTTACAAAGCTAACTGTAACACAATTAAATGCAGAGATGTAAGAACAAAAATCCTTACCCTTTTCAAAACAGAACTACTTAGCAATGTATTGGTAAACATTGGTTTGCTTCCATCTTCTTTAAATTCATTTTCTTTATAGTATGTCTTTGGTTTAATGAATGAATTGACTCTTGCCTCTTGTAGTAACTTAGCTTTCAGTTCTGGTATAAATCTAATAAAATAAGCAGTATCAACCAATATTCTTTATTTAGAGAGGCAGAAAATTGTAAGACAGCATAACATTAAAATTTGATTACTGGCATCTTTTAAAAATTTGACTTTGCAAATATATCATATAGAACTCCTACAGAAAAGACATAAATGAACTATATCCTTTGAGTCAGAGGTCTAATAGGAATAAAGCTAAAAGTATTGTTTACTTAACATTACCGATGGTCTAAGATGACATTGAAATTTCAGTACATTTAGAGCCAAGCACATTGTCAAGAATATTATAACGTAGTGAATATTAGTCACTACTTTTATTATCAGTTTTCATCTGTGACACCTATAAATCTACCATATTATCTAATGACTTAATACTTGACTAAAAAATAAGCACAATTCATATTAATCTAAGAAGCAATTCTCTTCCTAACAGAATTTCATAAAACAAAATTCTAAAAACATCACATTGATTCAAAATGCTTACTTTTCAATAAATCCATCTCTAGTAAAATATTCATGATGCAAAAGATCAGTAGATGATATCCTCTCAGCAGGATCAATTTGCAAGCAAGCCTAGAAAAAAATTAAATAATTGTATGATCAGTTAACTTTAAACAAAACAATTTGTTCATTCATTTGACAAATGAACAAACAATCAGTTACTCAGAGCTAAAAAAAAGTTTCTCAAGTGTTATTAAATTGCTAGAATTTCTGACAATAACTTTTGATCATTTATTCTCCTAAGAATTTACAGTATTATAATAGCTAGTGGTGCTATGATTCCAGCCAAAACAGAGGTCAACCTATGTTGGCTGGATTTGAAATTTTGATTTCATTTGTCAGTCTTATGAGGTCAAAAGTTCATGGGTAATCATTTGTATTTTACATATCTGGCATAGTCTGTGAGTACTGAGACTAAAATACATAAGCCTTTCCTTAAAGATTTACTTATTTTTAAAAAAGATTTACTTATTTTTATTGGAAAGGTAGATACACAGAGGAGGAGACAGAGAGGAAGATCTTCCATCTGATTATTCACTCCCCAAGTGACCTCAATGGCTACAGCTGCACTGATCCGAAGGCAGGAGCCAAGAACTTTTTCCAGGTCTCCCATGTGGGTGCGGCGTCCCAAGGCTTTGGGTTGTTCTTGACTACTTTCCCAGTCCACAAGCAGGGAACTGGGTGGGAAGCGGGGCAGTTGGGATTAGAACTGGTGCCCATATGGGATTCCAGCACTTGCAAAGCGAGGACTTTAGCCACTAGGCTACTATGCCAGGCCCTGTGTTATCTTCAGCCACTAGGCCATCATGCCAGACCCGAGATTTACTTATTTGTTTTTATTGGAAAGGCAGATTTACATAGAGAAGGAGAGACAGAAAGATCTTCCATTTGTTGGTCCATTCCCCACACGGATACAACAGTTGAAGCTGAACCGATCGAAGGCAGGAGCCAGAAGTTTCTTCCAGGTCTCCCATGCAGGTGCAGGGTCTCAAGGCTTTGGGTCATCCTCAACTGCTTTCCCAGTCCATAATCAGGGAGCTGAACAAGAAGTGGAACAGCTAGGACTTAAATCGACACCCCTATGGGATCCTAGCTCTTGCAGGGTAGAGATTAGCCAATTGAGCCATTGTGTAAGGCCTGAGATTTACTTATTTTAAAGTCAGAGAGAAGAAGAGACAGGTCTTCTACCTGCTGGTTTCCTCCCCACATATCCCCAACAGCTAGATCTTAGCCAAAACAAGGCCAGGAGCCAGGAACTCTGTCCTGGTTTCCAACATGGGTTGCAAGGAAGCCAGGTACTTGGGCCAAGATCTGCTGCCTACCCACATGCATTTTTAGCAGGAAGCTGGGTTATAAGGATTAAAATTCTAGTTTGGGGGCAGCATTGTGGCTGCTTTGTAACACTCCTATGTGGGAGCTCTGATTCATGTCTTGGCTGCTCTTTTAAAATGTTACCAAAAATGCTTTTTATCTAAAAAGAAGTGAGAATAATTAGCGTTTTTGGACAGTTACTCAGGACGCTGGGCTATGCACATTCCCAACTCTTTCTCTCTCTCTCTTAACTGAACCATTTATTTGAAAATGAGAGTCATATGGAGAAACAGAGTGGGAACTTCACTCCTCAGATGGCTAAAAAGGCCAGTGCTGAGCCAGGCCAAGCCAGGAGTCACAAGCCTTATCCAGGTCTCCCACACTGAGTTACTAAAGCCTGGGTACTTAAACCATCCTCTGCTACTTTCCCCAGGCACATTAGCAGGGAGCTGGACTGGAAGTGGAGCAGCCAGGACACCTACTGTTTGTTCACATGGGATGCTGGCATCACTGGCAGCATAGTTGCTAGGACACAATGCCAGCCCAAGATGTCACCTTACTAAATACTCTAGCCCCAAAGCTAAGTATGGCTACTGCCATTTTGAAGCCCAGTAAATTGAGCAACAGAGATTAATCCACTTGTCCAAAGCTGCACATTAATTAGTGCCCACATTCAAGTTTTCAATACAGTTTGTGTGATTCCCAGTCCTTTCTTTAAGTACTATAATGACAATTCTGAAATTTAGGGAACCACAATCATTTTCAAAGGCTTTACATTAGAAATAAATTACTTGTGGCACTGCGGTCCAGCAGGTAAGCTGCCATCTGCTGTGCTGATATCTCGTACAGGTGCTTTTTCAAGTCTAAGTTACTATACTCCTAGTTCAGCTCCCTGCTAATATCCTGTGAAAGCAGCAGAGGATAGCCAAAGGTCTTAGGAACCTGCACCCAAATGGGAGACTTGGAGGAATCTCCTGACTTTGGATCAGCTCATCTATTGCAATGGCTATTGCAACCATTTGGGGAGTAAACCAGCACATGGAAGACATCTCTCTCTCCCTTCTCTGAAAATCTCTTTCCAATAAAAATAAATATACCTTTTAAAAAAGGAATAAATTACCGTAATTTTCCCTGTGAAAAGAAACTGGTTAGAGAAAAGAAAGAAAAGCTATTTTACTTTTCACAGTAAATACATTTTACATTTTGGATTCTGTATAAAATACACCTAGTTTAAATAAAAATCAAATTTTAAAATAACAAAAAAAGGCTAGATGCTTTCAACAATTCAAGGTAAATTTTGGAACTGATCAGTCTTCCAAAATTAACATTGCAGTTGCCAATGGCTTGTGGACGGCTTCGGATTCTACAATACAGAGAGTCCTAATTTAGCTGGAGAAGACAGTAAAAGCTGAGGATAAACACAGTAAGTGCTTTGAATTGTCAGTTCATCCCTAGTGATTAGCAGGATTAGGATAAACTGAAAATAATAAATATATCTCAAGATGTTTCCATTCTAATAGTCTATACATTTTAATTTATCTGCATTATAGGTATAACCTTCAACAGATAATAATATTACTTTAGGAACTCTTACAGAATTTCATTAAAGTAATATTTTTAAATAATATTGTAATTTATGCAAATTTCTCGGATGTAAGTTCTTAATTCTTTAACATACATGAACTATGTCTGCCAGCAATCCATTAAGTTTTGGGTATTTTTTCCTTGCATTCTTGGGGTGTTGAACTTGAGGAAGGACCACTCCAGCAAAAATGGGATTCTTAGAAAAGATACTCTGCAAGTGAGGTGTCAAATTGCCTGAAAAGAGAATACATATAACAACAACAAAACATAGTAGTGAGTCTGCAATCAAAATAATTAAACTGCTTTGTAGACAGATTTGAAGGTGCCAAGAAGTGGAAGTAGAAATGGCTTTTCCCCTATAGGTAAGCCCTGGCAAAGACACGGACGTCTCACCCCAGAGCCTGGATCTGACGCCCCTGTGTAGCTCCTGACCCCAGCTTCCTGCTGGTACAGACCATGGCAGGCAGAGGTGATAGCTCATTTAGTTAGATTCCTGCTACCCATGTCATAAATCTGAACTGTTTCTGACCTCCAGTTTCAGCCTCAGTCAGGGACCCTTACATTTGGGAAGTAGACAAGTGGATCAGAGCTCTTTCTTTCTCTGCCTTCTGCCTCTCAAGGAAATAACTAAAATATAAAACAATTAGCTAATTATCACCTAGAAAAGCAGCAGAAGATATTCCAAGAACTCATGCCCTTGAAACCCGCTGGAAGACTTAGATGAAGCTCCTGGGTCCTGGCTTTAGTCTGGCCAGGTCCTGATCATTGCAGCCATCTGGTGGGTCTGAAATCTCTTCCCCAACCCCATTATTGTTTCAAATAAAATAAATCAATCCTAACAAATAAATAAAAATGAAATAAAGAATCACAGCTACAGTGTGTGGCCAGTGTTAAAAAGGTGAACAATAATCTGAATATTAAAACTGAAGTGTTCTCCAGTAATCTGTTGACAGCACACAGGCAGTAGAATATCCAAAAGAACCAAGTTTGTTTTCTGCTTCCAAACTGTAAGACATGTAATGCTATCAGGAAGCACAGATTTTAATTTTTAGATATTTACTTATTGTTATTTAAATGGTGTTAAGTACAAAGTTCTCATCAGCAAAAAAGTGTGAATGAAGCCTTATTCAAAATAGCTAAAATATTTAAATTCTTTAGAATTTAAAATATTGCTTGGGCCAGCATTATAGAACAGCAGGTTAAACCACTGATTCCAACTCTAGCATGCCTTATCAGAGTCCCTGTTTGAGTCCCAGCTGCTCTGCTAATGCAACTACCTCGGAAAGCAGAAAGCTTAAGACAAGACGACCCAAGTACTCGGATCCTTGCCACCCACATGGGAGATCAAGGGAGAATTCCAGACTTTCAGCTTCAGCCTGACCCATTCCCTATCAGCGCAGCCATTTAGAGAAGGAACCAGAGGATGGAAAGTGTGTGTGTGTGTGTGTGTGTGTGTGTGTGTGTGTGTGTGTGTGTGACTGCCTTTCAAATAACATTTTCTTTAAAAAGAAATAAACATATTGCAAACAAGAGACAAGGACACATACTAGTAGTAGAATAGGCAAAACTATACACAGGGGTGAAAAGAACCATGTTTCAGGGGCCAGTGTTGTAGCACAGCCAAGTTAAATCACCTCCTGCAATACATCCCATATCAGCTATCAGTTGAGTTCTGGCTACTCTGCTTCTGATCCAGCTTTCCACTCAACTGCCTGGGAAAGCAGCAGAAGATGCTCTAAGAATCTGGGCCCCTGCGACCATGCCAGAGACCCAGATGGAGTTTCTGACTTCTGGCTTTCGCCTGGCCCACCCCTGACTATGGCAGGCATTTGGGGAATGAACCAGCAGATGGAACACCTCTCTCTCTCCCTCCCTCTGTCTCTTCCTCTATCTCTTGTTCTCTCAAATACCTATAAACAAATGTTAAAAAACGAAAGCAGAAACATGTTCTGTCATCAGTTTTGGCCTGGACACTGAATAACTCCCCATTTGTGTGCCTAGGCTTCTCCAACTGTAAAATCACAGAACTAACCTCATTACTGCTGTCTCTTTTTAACAGCAAACACACAGCCAGAATTTGAAAACACATAAAACGACTATGACACCTTAAAGAAAATAATTTTTATTTTCAATTTTATTTCAAAGGCAGAGAGAAAGACAGAGATCTTTCTTTTGTGGGTTCACTTTCTAAATGTCCCCAAAAGCCTGGCCTTGGCCAGGCCAAAGTCAGCAACTCAGAACTCCAGCTGGGTTTCTCACTAGAGTCATCATCTCTCAAGATACACATTAGAGGAAACTGGGTGGCAAACAACACCAGGACTTGAACCACGCACTGTGATAATGGGACATGGGCATCCCGACCAGCAAATGAATGACTGTGCCATATGCCTGCAGCAAGAGTGAGGCTGCATCTTAAAACAGCACTCATTTAGATTTTGCTATTTTTTTTATAATTGTTCACAATATTTTCCTTGTCATCTAATAGATACACGATCCTGAGCAGTTTCCCAGGCACACACAGGGTATCTCAAAATCCTAACTCATAAATACTAAAAAAAAAAAAAAAATCACTGAATTGCCTACCATTTGCAAGCCTAACCATCAGAATGCTTAGCAGTCAAAGTAGATCATGAAATAAACTCATTAAATATATTACTTTTAAAAAGGTTTCTTTGAAAGGCAGTGTGATAGGGGTTTGGCAGTAGATTTCCTCCATCCACTAATTCACTCTCCAGCAGCCTGCCCGAGCCAGGCTGAAGCCAGGTGCTAGGAGCTCCGTTCTGGTTTTTCTCATGGGTGGCAGGGCCAAGCACTGGCCATGATGCACTGCCTACTAGGTGCATCAGTTAGAACATGGATTGGAAGCACAGCAGCTGAGACGTCAACTGGCATTTCAAGTGGTAACTGAGTATGTGGCACCATAATGACAACACATCAAATATATTCTTGATTAAGCTATCTATTTGTCAACTGTGTTCTTTTAAAAAGAGGGTAGTTTATGAGCAAATAATCGATATTTTATCTCCAAATGCTTTAGTATTTTATTCAACTCTATGAGTATTAAAAAGTCCTTGTTTAGAGGTTACCAGTGTCTATAGCAGCATAACTTTTCAGACATCTTTTAGACAAACTGAATTATGTTCCTACTATAGTAATTTTAGCATCAACCATTAACATATGGTTTAGTTATCTGCATCCTGCAAAGAAAATATTATTTGCATAAACAGAATTTTTCCCTTCTTTATCAGCCCAAGGCATCCATCTGTTGCCCTCTATCAAAACAACATGCCTCCCTGTTTTTATGCAGAAAAGCTGAATTGAAACCACAAAAGAATTGGCCTGGCAATACTGTAGAGGAATGACAGTGTTTTCCACTAATACCTACCTACTTTTGAAACAATTTTATGAAGTAAATCCAAATCAGAGCTGCTGGGTAGATGGGGATTCCCAGTGGCCATCTCAATAATCATACAGCCCAAAGCCCATATATCCACAGGTCTGAAACACAGCAGAAGAATCTAAATTATTTTGCATGAAAAACATCAAGGGCAAAAGAATAAAAACGTTTAAGTGGTATAAAGTTTCACTGTAGACCCTTAGGGCAACTTCAGGATGTACATTAAATATGGTCAATTTATACTACTTCTTTGGTTGGTGGCATCCATTTAGACCACTTCTTTGGTGATGGTGGGGAATCGCCAAAAGCTACCAAAATTCACATCAGACAAATTTTGATTGTACAACTTTATTCCTAGCAAGTCTTCCTAAGATATATGTACAGGTACACATGAATATAAATTATATGAGAATTTCATTGCTAGTCTGTTGATGATAGAGGTTGATTGGAAATATCCTAAATGCCAGCAAGGCAATGACTAATTAGATGTTCGTTTAACTACACAATGAAATACGATTTAGCTGTTGAAATGTGAAGATTTAGGTCTGTGTATAAGTACTGGAACAGACTGATCGCCAAAATAAGCTGGTAAGTTTAAAAAGCAAGATGCAGGGGCTATTGCTGTGGTGCATCAAATTGAGCAGCCATCTGCAATGCCTATATCCCATATGCATGCCTGTTTTAAGTGCTGGATGTTCCCTTCCAATCCAGCTCCCTAATAATGCACTTAGGAAAGCATCTGAAGATGGCTTAAATTCTTGGATCCCTGTATTCACATGGAGACTCAGATGAAGCTCTTGCCTCCTAGCTTGGCCCAGCCCAAAAGTCTGTACAACCACCAGGGAATGAATCTAGCAAATGGAAAATCTCCCTTTCTTTCCTCTCTGTAAGTCTGATTCTCAAATAAACACATACATACAGCTGGCGCACTGATATAGTAAGCTAATCCTTGGTCTGCCAGCACTGGCATCTTTGTATGTCAGTTTGAGTCCCAGCTGCTTCACTTTCAATCCAGCTCTCTACTAATGTGCCATGAACAGCAGCAAAAGATGACCCAAGTTCTTGGGACCCTGTACCCATGTGAAAGTCCCAGAAGCTCCTGGCTCTTGGCTTCACACCAGCCCAGCTCCAGTCATTCTGGCCATTTGAGGAGTGAACCAGCAGACGGAAAATCTCTCTCACTGTCTCTCCTTCCCTCTGTAAATCTGTCTTTAAACAAAAATAAATGTCTTCAAAAAAAAACATATATATATATATATATAACTAAAATATAAAACAGTGAAACTATCAAGTATCAATGAAAAGGCAGAGCTGACAGGAATTTTATCTGCTGATATGAATGCAAAGTTGTATAACCATTTTGGAGGACATTCTTGACAGCATCTTAAAAGCTAAACAGTCTTGGGGCTACTGTGGTGGTTCATCAGGCTAATCCTATGACTGCAGCACTGGCATCCTATATGGGCAACGGTTCAAGTCCTGGCTGCTTCAATTCCCACCCAGTTCCCTATTTGTGGACTGGGAAGGTAGCAGAGGAGGGCCCAAAGCCTAGGGTCCCTGCACCCACATGGGAAACCCAGAAGAAATTCCTGGCTCCTGGGTTCAGATTGGCTCAGCTCTGGTTGTTGAGGCCATTTTGGGAGTGAACCAGTAAATGGAAGTTATATCTCTCTCTGCCTTTCCTTCTCTCTATAGTCTACTTCTCAAATAAAAATAAATCTTTAAAAAAGAGACTAAATACTCTAATGACATGAACCAGTGATTGTGCTCGTTGGTATCCCAAATGAGCTTTTTTAAAAAGTCCATACAAAAATTCATTCATAATAAAGAGTTTATTTTATTTGAAATACAGAGTTACAGAGATAGGAGGAGGAGAAGAGAGAAAGAGAAATAGAGAAGTCTTCCATCCACTGGTTTACTTTTCAGATAGCCACAATGACCAGAGCTGAGCCAATCTGCAGCCAGGAGCCTGGGACCAGGAGCTTCCTCTAGGTTTGCCATGTGGGTGCAAGGCCCAAGCATTTGAATTACCTTCTGCTGCTTTCTCAGGCCATAGGCAGGGAGCTAGATCAGAAATGGAATGGCCAGGACTCAAATTGGCACCCATATAGGATGCTGGCACCACAGGCAGGGACTTAAGCCTTAGCAATGCCATGGCACTGGTCCCATCATTCATAATGTTTATTACAGCTTGTTTCCTAATTGCCAAAACTTGGAAGCAATCAAGATATCCTTCAATAAATGCATGGATAAACTATGGTACATACATACAGTAGAATATAAATTTAGTAGTTAAAATTAAAAATAATGAACCAGAGCCAGAATTCTGGAGCAGCATGTTAAGCTGCCACCTGAAATTCCAGCATCCCATGTGAGGACCAGTTTCAGTCCTAGGTATGCCACTTCATAATCCAGCTCTCTGCTAATGGAAAGCAGTGGAAGGTGGAATAAGTACTTGAGTCCCTGCCACCCATGTGGGAGACCAGGGTTCCCAGCTTTGACTTGGCCCAGACCCAGTCATTATGGGCATGTGGGTAGACAATCAGGTCTTTCTCTCCCTCTTTCTCCCCCCACCCCACCACCAGGGAATGAATCTAGCAAATGGAAAAATCTCCATTTCTCCCCCCCCACCACCCCCGTCACTTTGCCTTTTGAATAAACAAATCTTAAAGACAGAAAAAAGTCATGCACCGTTACACTACAAAAACAAGTAAATATTATGGAGTCAAACCAGCTGTATAATTCCAACTACATGACATTCTGGAAAAACCTTCAGTATAGTGACAATAAAAAGATCAGCAGTTGGGACCAGCATGGTGGTGCAACAGTGCTGGCATCTCATATGCGCCTGATAGTGTGTCGACTACTCCAAAAACATTCTATCTGCTACCTTCTATGGAAAGTAAAGGCGTTAGATTCAAGCCTCAAATTTTAAAAACTGGGTACCACAAGCTTAGGCATAACTTGCAGGTATGAGAGGAGATAATAGCAGCACAGGGAAATGCACTTCCAGCTGACCTGCTTTAGTGAACCGACAACTGTCACTTGCTCTCCTTGCATTCACTGCACAGAAGGACCAGTGGAGGCACTAAGACCAATCCTGCTGGAGCAGGGTGGCCACAGCCCAGCACAGAACAGGATCTAGAACACAATCTACACCTGATCCTAGCCAAAAGGCCACAAAATGAATGGAAAAGAGTCTGACAGCGATGAATTAGAACTTCAGCCCAAGGAACAAGATTCCACACAGGCAAACACAGAATAGCCCCTGCCGGCAGCAGCAGCTGAAATCAAGGAGAACTCATCAGCACGGGAAAACAGAGTCCGATGGGGAAAAAAATAAAAGCACAGAAGACAATGGGCAAATTGGGGTGTCAAAGGCAAACAGTACCCCTACATAGAAATCTAAGGATTTCCTCTTTGTCATCACAAATCCTCGCATCTTCAGGAGCTCAATGTCAGACAATCTACATGGTTTTTGCAAAAGCCAAGATGAAGACATACCTCAGTAAGCCCAGCTAGCAGGTTCTGAGAAATTTAAAGTTCAATGTGAAAGCATCCCGGACAGTCAAGAAAACAGAGATCCAAACTGTGTAAGAGGAAAGAGGAAGAGGTTGATAAAAGAATGATTTGAAATTGAGGACACAGAACTGGTCACAAGCAAATGTGTTCAGAGTAAATTTAGTTTGAGCCCTGAGGAAAAATAGAAATGATATTTTAAATGCTTTTATGGAACTTGGCAATTTCACGACCTGAAAACTAGGACTTAAGTTATTTCAAAACAAGCAACTGCAGGCTAAGCCGTCACTGGCTAGCAACACCAGCGTGCCACAAGAGTGCCGGCTTGGCCCCAGCTGCTATGCTTGCATCATGATCCCTGCTAAGGTGCCCGGAAGCACAGTGAATGACAGCTTTTGTACTTGGGCCCTGCCACAAAGGTAACAGACCAGAATGGAGCTTCCACCTGCAGATGGGTCCAGCCCTGATTATAGGGGCCATCTGGGAGGTAAACCAGTTCATGGAAAGTATTGTTTTCTTCCTTTCTCTCTCTCCCACCTCATTGTCTATCCCCATCACTTCACCTCTCAAGTAAATAAATAAATAAGCTTTTTAAAAAAGTAACTTTAATTGGTTTGAAATGTATGGTGTACGTTGACTTCTTTTTGGATAAAAGAAACACAAAACAGGGTCTGGAGAGATAATGCTCTGTACCGTGAGTCAAACTGCCATAATAAACTATTTAAAAATTCCAGCTGAACTACGATCCACACAATGGAAGAAAATCAGGTAGCCCAAATCCTGGAGTTGAAAAAAAAAACATGACTAAGTAATGAGATGTTAAATTTAGCAGAAAAACATTTCAAAACAGATAACATAAATATATTCATAGAACTAAAGGAATGCATGGCTTTCATGTGGGCATGGAGGTAAATGAAGGCATTTGCATTCTTTCTAGCAAGTAAGAATTCCGTTACAATGTTCAGCTCCCACAGGAGCTGTGTTGGAGGCTTGCCTCTGGTTCCTCAGCTTCCTGCTAAGGAGAGGTGGCAGTGCAGCCTTAGGCAGGTGGGGTCATGCATCGAAGCCAGGTCCTAGTAGAGGTGTGTCAAGTGCTTATCTAAGTGCTTACTCCTACTCTGGAAGCTCCTGGTTTCAGCATGGTACCTCTCTGGTCACTGGGGAATAACAGGAAGCAGCTTGACTTGCAATACCACAACACTGGGCTCCCAGAACTAAGATTCTAGCCCAGGTGGCCCAGAGTCACACTCCATGCTCCAGAGTATTAACTGTACTTAGCACTGAGAACATTTGGGAATAAAACAGTGAGTGGAATATCTCCTTCTCTTTCTGTGTAACTCTGCTTTTCAAATAAAATAAAGAAAGAAAAAAAACCCTAGAACCCCAGTTCTGCCATTAGCCAATTACTACAGGAAATTACCTCACTACCTTAGTGTTCTTTTTATTTTTAAAGATTTATTGATTTTTATTACAAAGTCAGATATACAGAGAGGAGGAGAGACAGAGAGGAAGATCTTCTGTCCAATGATTCACTCCCCAAGTGACCACAACAGCCCGTGCTGTGCTGATCTGAAGCCAGGAACCAGGAACCTCTTTGGGGTCTCCCACATGGGTGCAGGGTCACAAAGCTTTGGGCCATCCTCGACTGCTTTCCCAGGCCACAGGCAGGGAGCTGGATGGGGAGTGGAGCTGCCGGGATTAGAACTGGCGCCCATATGGGATCCCGGGCGTTCAAGGCGAGGACCATGCCGCTGGGCCCTTTAGCGTTCTTTTACAAACAGGAATGACAAGAGCTGCTGCTTTGGCAATTTGTAGAATGGTGCAGCACTATCATCACATATGGGCATTGCTTCAAAATCCAGCTCCCTACTACATGTGCTTGAGAAAGCAGCAGCAGATGGCCACGTGCTTGGGCCCCTGCAACTACATGGAGTCCTGGAGGAAGCTCCTGCTCTGTCTGACCTAGCTCTGGCACTTTCAGTCATATGAGAAGTAAACCAGGGGATGGAAGATTTCTGTCTCTCCCTCCCTCTCTCTGTAACTCTGCCTTAAAGAGTTTCAGTTTCTAAGAAGAGCACATGAGAATTATCCCCCATATTCCTATTTATTTATTTATATTGCAAAAGCAGATTTACAGAGAGGAGAGAGAGAAAGAGAGAGAAAGGTTTCCAGTTCACTGGTTCACTCCCCAAGTGGCCGCAACGAAGAGTTGAGCCAGTCCGAAACCCGCAGCTTCTTCTACGTCTCCCACACGGTGCAGGGTCCCTAGGCTTTGGGCCGTCCTTGACTGCTTTCCCAGGCCACAAGCAGGGAGCTGGATGAGAAGTGGAACAGCTGGAACATGAACTAGCTTCCATAGGGGATCCCAGCGCATGCAAGATGAGAACTTTAGCCACTAGGTAGGCTACCACATTTGGTCCCATATTTGTATTTTTTTTTTTTATTATTTTTTATTGGAAAGGCGGATATACAGAGAGGAGAGACAGAGAGGAAGATCTTCCATCCGATGATTCACTCCCCAAGTGAGCCGCAACGGGCCGATACTATGCCGATCCGAAGCCAGGAGCCTCTTCCGGGTCTCCCACGCGGGTGCAGGGTCCCAAAGCCTTGGGCCGTCCTCAACTGCTTTCCCAGGCCACAGGCAGGGAGCTGGAAGGGAAGCGGGGCTGCCGGGATTAGAACCGGCGCCCATATGGGATCCCGTGCGTGCAAGGCGAGGACTTAACCACTTGCGCCACCGCGCCGGGCCCTATATTTGTATTTTTAAAAGCACTGAATTATACACTCTTGACCATTTATGCTCTTTAATACTGACTCCTTGTATTTTAGATTGCTGTTTCACATTGCACTGTGTCTATGATAGTTTCTGAAGCACCTACTAAAGCACTATTTAAATATTAGTATCTGCATAGTTGGTTCTATTGTTTCTGGAAATAGTCATCTAGGTAGTTTCTATTTCAATACTGGCAGAGTAATGAATGATTTAAAAAATCTTTCCAGAATACAGAGGCAAAAGATAAGGGTTGTGGCCAAGCATGAAGCAAGCACAGACACCTCCTAAGGGGTGTCTACATGGTCTCCTGACCACGGCCATTCAAATCCAGAGGGGAATCAGCAGCAGCAGCAGCCAGGGATACACATGGATGCTTCAGCTACTGTTAGAGGCTTCCCCCTTCTCCCTCCCCTGAACACAGAGGGCATAAAGTGATAGTGCTGGGGATGACATATGTGCAAAAGGAAAAGGAGAAGCCTACGTAAGAAAAAGGCCAGGCAGGATCCCAAAATATACATACTTTCCGTAAGACGTATCCTTTAATACTAATTCTGGAGCTCTGTACCAGCGTGTGGCCACATAGTCTGTATAAATGTCCCCAGGAGCTGCAAGAGTTCGTGCAAAACCAAAATCACAGAGCTTAGTAATTCCTGACTGGGATACTAAAATATTCTCTGGTTTTATATCTCGATGAATGATCTAAAAAACAAACAAAAGGTGAAACACATTAAAATGAGGTCTCACTATCCAGAGAATCTCTGAAAAATTATACAGCAAAAGCTTAACTCATTAAAAGTATAAAGCTCTTTCCTTACCATTCACAAAGGTTTAACCAATAATGAACAAACTGTTAGCCATTTTAAATTCTTGTTTCATTTTTATGATTTCAAAATGAAATGAAGCCAGAGAAACAAAAATACTAAAGGGTAAATCACATTCCTATAAGCGATAATTTGTTTCAGATTTTTAAAAAGTATTTATATTATTTTATGATACAGTTCCATGGGCTCTAGAATTTCCCTTCCCTCCTCACCAAACTCCTAACTCCCGCTGATTTCCCCTATGCCATTACAAAAGTATAGTCCTTCATAATCAGTCATAAGTCTATCACGCTGCTATTTAAGCTTATCCTGATATTGTAGGTATGGACAATGGCAGAGTCCAGCATCTTATTGTGAATATATATTTAACAGTTTCATTGCAAGTCCTTTTTTGATCAACAAATTTTTTTTTAAGTCTAATGAGAAAAAATTAACTTTGCTTTAATGCCATGTTCTATTCGAATTACTCTCTTACTCCCCTCGCAGATAAATCCCCTAAATGTACCACCTGTACTCACAGTCCTCACTTGGGGGCTACCTGCTCATTCAAGGTAACAACTGTCTTCCATTCCCACACTTCATCAAACTTCTCTAGTCAACAAACACTTCCCAATCCACATCCTGCTTGATCTATTAGTGAGAAAACTTACCAACTGTGGTAGGTGTTGTGGTAGGTGCAGCACATTAAGCCATCAGCTGATATAACCATAGCCCATGTGGCAAGGGCAATTTGAGTCCTGGGTATTCTACTCCTGATCCAGCATCTGCTCATGCACCCCCGAGGGCAGGCAGCGGATGACTGCTCAGTAACTGGGTTTCTGCCACTCATGTGGGAGACCTGGTTGGAGTTCGGGCCCCTGAATTGTGTGTGAGCCAGCAGATGAACAATTTCTGTGTATGTGTGTGTCTTTCAAGTATATGAAGATAAACATTAAATTTCCCTAGCATCCTTGAATCTCCCTGGCAATTCCTCATTCTCTCTATATATATTTTAAATGTAGAGTTCTGCTCTGAGACTTTCCTTTCATATATCTTGTTTCCTTGGGAATCTCATACGCCCTTTATTTTTGGACCACTTTTTTCACTTGGCTGTGGGGAAAACACATTCTCTAGGGTTTCATAACACCTACCATTCTCCATCTCAGACTCATCTGTCTTTAACATTTTATTTATATCAACAAAAATGGCTCATATTTATACTGTATATGTTGTTTTGAAATACACATGGGAATTAAATCACATCAATTAGCACACACATTACCTCACACACTTAGCATTTTTGTTCTAAGAATACTTAAAACCTACTCTTAGCAATTCTCAAGACTGTAAAAGGGGCTGGCACTGTGGGGACCCAGTAGGTTAAGCTTCTGCATGCAATGCTGGCATCCCACTTGAGGACTCTCCAGTCCTAGTTCCTGCACTTCTGATCCAGCCCCCGAATGCACTCGAGAAAGCAGCAGGAGACAGCTCAAGTGCTTGGGCCAGGCTTCTATTTGGAGGCCCCAAATGGATTTCCCTGCTCCTGGCTCAGTTCTGTTGGACCAACAGAAGGAAAAATCTCTCCTGTTCTCCATCTCTCCCTCTAAATTGGCCTTTATAAAATGAACAGAATCGCTGTTATGTATTCTGTACAATACAGTCCTCCTGAACTTATTCTGTTTGCTCAGGGCTCCTGGCTGTTGTTCCGATGACATTAGATCCTGTGAGGAAGGATCTGGGCTCTTTCCATCCCATGTGGGAGATCCGATAGGGAATGGTTGACCTCAGAGTTCTCGGCCTACGAGGGCACTCCTATTCCCTGTGATCTCCTTGGTAGTTGGGATATAATCCTTGGTGTCCATACCAATAGTCCTTGGTGAGGTACAGGGAGTCTCCGGGGTTAGGATACAAGCCTCCTCCTGTCCTCCTGTTCCACTCTGGGGTTGCCTCTTGCTCTGTGCCCTTGACCTCCTGATAAGAGGCTGTCAGGACCCCACTGTATGTCTTAATAGTTTTTGCTAATGTCTAATGCAGATTCGAGTCACCTGTCTCTAAGTTACCTGTTACAATCTTGATAGGTTATACTTAACATCTTCCTCACACCCTAAGAAGGTAGAAGATTTCCTCTTACTGTTGATATGTAAATTCCTCAAACTCTCCTCCCTTAGGCCTGAGTGACCTTCAGTCTTGAAAAGTCTGATGCTGTTAATAAACTTTGGCTATTGACCATCAGTCAGTATTCCCTGTATATGATTATTGGCTCCGTGTACCAAGTACATCACTGCTGGACAGCGAACAATACATCCTTGGGATTGGCTATGTTATGAAATAGTGTCCTTTCAAAATTGTACAATAACAACAAAATTCCCAAAAGTTACCATCCTTATAAATATATTAATCTTTTTATCTTCTACAATTTGTATTAATATCCACTGTATATATAGTAACTGAGCCAAAACAGGGGATATAATGTGAGCAAAAAGACATAAAAAGCTACATTAAGAAACCACTTGTGGGCCAGGCGAAGTAACTCAGCGGCTGAAGTCCTTGCCTTGAACACACTGGGATCCCATATGGGCACCAGTTCTTATCCCAGCAGCCCTGCTTCCCATCCAGCTCCCTGCTTGTGGCCTGGGAATGCAGTTGAGGACAGCCCAAGGCCTTGGGACCCTGCACCCGTGTGGGAGACCTGGAAGAGCTTCTGGCTCCTGGTTTTGGTCACTCCCATTTGACGGAGTGAAACAGTGGGTGGAAGATCTCTGTCTCCTTCTCTCCATAAATGTGATCTGCCTTTATAACAAAAACATAAATAAATCTTATTTTTTACATAAATAAATCTTTAAAAAAAAAGAAGCCAAGTAGTTTCCTCTATGCCCACAGTGGTACCCTCCTGAACCAACTGCCTCTGACGAAATCTTAGCTAGAGTTCAAAATCCACTTATTTGTCCACACTGATGTCTCATTTTACTCAAGCAACATTTGTAAAGATGTTGTAAACACCTTTTGCAAAGATTTGTATAGCAACATTTATAAAGATAACAAAACCATTCTCAACCAGCACTATGTCCTGAGCACTTCAAATTTACCTTACATGGTAATATTTACCATGTAAATATTATATATATAATATATATATATATATTATATATTACTATTTACGTTTAAAAAAAATAAATCTGTGAGATACTGGACCCAGAGCAATGGCCCAGTGTTCAAAGTCCTCAACATGCACACGCTGGGATCCCATATGGGCACCAGTTCGTGTCCTAGCTGCTCTAGTTCCCTTCCAGCTCTCTGCTCGAGGCCTGGGAAAGCAGTAGAAGGCAGCCCAAAGTCTTGGGACCCTGCACCCATGTGGAAGACCCAAAAGAAGCTCTTAGCTTCGGATTGGATCAGCTCTGGCCATTGTCATCACTTTGTGAGTAAACCACAGGATGGAAGATCCTTGTCTCTATAAATCTGCCTTTCCAATAAAAAGAACTAAATCTTAAAAAAAAAAAATCTGGGCCCAGCGAGGTAGCGTAGTGGTTAAGGTCCTCACCTTGGACATGCCTGGGATCCCATACCGGCGCCAGTTCTAACCCTGGCTGCCCCGCTTCCCATCCAGCTCCCTGCCTGTGGCCTGGGAATGCAGTGAACAGCCCAAAGCCTAGGGACCCTGCACCCACATGGGAGACCTGGAAGAAGCTCCTGGCTTCTGGCTTCAGATTGGTTCAGCTCCAGCCATTGCAGCCACTTGGGGAGTGAACCATCAGAAGGAAGATTTTCCTCTCTGTTTCTCCTCCTCTCTGTGTATCTGCCTTTCTAATAAAAACAAATCTTTAAAAAAAATCTGTGAAATACTACAATATCTCAGAAATAAGGGAAACAAGGCTCAGAGAGGTTAAGTGACATTTTCAAGGCTACAGAATCTCACGGCATTGCGACATTTAGTCTCCCAAATCGTGTACTGCACAGAAAACACGGCAATAAAAATGCAAGAGAGCATGTCCTGAAGAAATCTACGCCTTTAACAATCCCAATACTAATCATGGACTCACTGCTACCATGACCATACTTTTCAAAGCCACAAAATTAACTATTCCTAACTCAGAAAATTAGAATTAAGCTACCTGATCCCGGGATGTATAGTAATTATGCCTCTGTCATCAACTTAATTTTTTTTGAGGCGCTTCCTGAGTATATATTTTGAGGTTTATTTCCTCAATACATACTAATTTACTGTTATTTCCTAAATATACGCATATAGCCTAATTTTTTTAAGAGTAGAGTTATATTGAGAAGAAAAAAAGAAAAAAAAAAAAAAACTCCATAAAAACCTGCTGAGCTAAAGATAAACCAGGCAGCTAGAGCCTCCACGAACCAGACAGACCATCTTTTTCTTAACTTTTTCACAGGTCGATGACAAGTCCTAAACTTGTCAGCTGCCTTTATTTTCTTTCTTCCCTTAAACACATTCACATTGGCTTGCTGTTACCTTGGCCTCATTTCCACTTCCTAACACTAAGCCATGGCCTTGGCTTTACCCATTTTGGTGTACTTCCTCTAAGGAAGGCACCCCAGGGGGCATGCTGCTGATTCCCTGAAACCTGACCACTGATCATGGTTTTAACATCCTGCATTTGATTGCTCTATACTGACAATTATTATGTGTTCAACAAACATCTTTTGTTCTGTAACCACACAGCCAGGTCACAACACCTCTCATCCCAATTTTAGAATGCTTATTCATATCACATAGAAAGAGAATGCCAGCAACTCTTATAAAAATGAAGCGTTTCAAGGACACTTAGGATCTGCACTCAGACGCGTCCGCCGTACCGAAATGCACTCACGTTGTTATTGTGAAGATATTCTATTGCTCGAAGGATCTGGAACAGGTATTTCCTGAGTCGTTTACTCTCCAGTCCATGACAATAATGTTGTAGCTCATCTAACACTGTATGGTCAATAAATTCGAACACCAAATGGATTTTCTTTTTCTGTCTAAACACTTCAATCAGATTGACCAGGTTTTCATGACGAAATTGCTATTGACAAAAGAAACAGATTTTTCAGTAAGTTATTTCAAAAATAATTTATACATGTAGCAGCTATGTATTTTTGAAGTGACAAATACTCTCAGCTGCTTTTTCTCCATGCACTTCAACAATTACCTGCTTGCATACCTATTTTAAGAGAATTTTAATCCATCTCATGATCAATTTAAAATAAAGAAAGATTTGGTCATACCTCAAGTTTTCATAAGCATTTGATTTGCTTATTAAACTACCTTAGAAATAATATATTACAATATAATTTGACATGGTGCTCTGCAATATGTTGGTAGCTTCTAATGGTTTGCGTTTGCATTTAATATCTGAAATGTAAAAGGCCCTAATGTTTACTATAAAGCATGCATTTCAACACCATTAAGTATATAACACGTATCAATTAATTATTCTCTAACTTTGTTTTAGGCTCTAGCAAATAAGCTGTAAGTTCTAGGGGGGTATTAAGAATTCACCAGACAGTAACAAAAGGAAATGAAAATATTAAGAACATCTTTAAATATGTGAAATACCAATGAAAGATTTCAGCAACTGTATATAAATGTTTGTAATTTTTTTTTTTTTTTGCTATCTGTACTAACTCATTAAACAGCAAAACACCTTTCAGACTACTAATACTCATTGTGGAAATGGTTTTAAAATGAGTATTTTTATCAGCTTAGGACATAAATGAGTTTTAGTATTTCATATTGCTCTTTTTACTTGTCAATATGTTGAGTATTACCAATTCTGAATAATTAATTTTATCATCTTATCAACTTTTTTTCATTTCACTAAAGAATCCAGGGGCTGAATTTCTTACAACTCTTTAATAAAAAAATGCATGCCTTGATTCTAATGGCACAATGTCATTTTTTTTTCCACTTTTCTCTATCTAATACAGAGACTAAAATCCTTTAAACATGACTAATAGAAAAACACGCCAAAAATGATGCCATACTCCTCTCCTATTTTTATTCTCGGTTTCTCTGGTTGGCAAGATATCAGGGCACTGCGGCAACAAAATGCTGGCAGCAGCAAAAAGAGCTGGCTGTTTTAGTATGCCATGCTTTTTAATCCCGCACCCCAGGGAGACTAACAGCTTCCTGTGCAATCTGCATGTTCAAAGTGAAAGATGTGCAGGTAGCAAAGGGTTAACGTGAGTCAATAATTGGATTTTTCACAGCTAAACCACAAAACCCTTAGAATGACTTCATTACTGCTTTTCAAGTGATTTCCTTTTTTTCCTTCCAATATTAGTATATATTTTTACAGATAGTCTTAATTTATTGATGAAATTTAAAATTCAGTTCAAACTAAGTCACTTTTAATCTAAGAATATTAGTGAATGCAAAAAAAACAGCCTTGAGTGGAATCACATTGCATCAAAGTAAAAATCCTGTAAGCAGCCAGCGATCTGCATAACCGTCACAGTAAAATATGGACATGTTTCAAGGGCATCTCTATGTTCCTGCCAGATATGGTACATGCACCAAGTGCTTTGGGAGTAAAAATCATCAGCATAAATGCAACAGCCTTGAAGAAACTGCGAGAAAGTCTGCCTGGGAAATGGTCTCCCTCTAAACAGATCTCTACTCGCAGTTACACAACAGTTGCCTTCCAGAATGATTATCTTTTTGGTCATGAACACAGGGACTGGCATCTTTGACAAAAGCATAACATTTTTACCGACTATCTAGAAACAGAACAGTTCCAACAATCCTGGCATATTTCTTCTAGTTACAAAGCAAACTGATCCATCATAGCTAATACAGACTTAAAGAGCACATTTCCTTCACAAAGTCATTCACCAGGATTCCTTAAGTCCTAGCAGATCTTCCTACTCTACACTTCAGCCACTCAGTGGTGCTAAGGTCAACTCAGACGCCATCTCCTTCAGGAAGCCTTCCTCGCCCCACAGGACTTGGTGCTAACCACCTGGCACTTGCCTTTTAACCCGGTTTGATTTCCATACACTCTGCTTTCTGATTAAATTGCCGAGGAATTCTTTTACCTCCCTAAATCCCAGCATCTAGCACAGCGCCTCACCATAAAACGTGGATGTTTGAAACCTACACTCAACATTATGCAGAAATTCAGAATAACTGTTTCACGATAGGCATAATTTTGTTGTATTACAGACATACACTTTGTATCCCTATAAAACTACAAAATGTAGGCAATAAGGTATGGGATCATGTTTGTCTTATTTCTTTTTCATATTTGTTCTTCTACTAAATGTCTTAAATACACCATCACAGAAATATTTTCTGCAGTTGTTTTATTCCATATATATATATAAACTTTCAGAGGAATTAAGGTAAAGGAAGCAAACCTTTAGGAACTTTATTTCTCTCATTGCAATCTTGTTGACAGATTTTTCTGGTTTCTCATAAAAAATCTTAATGGCCACTATCTGCCCGGTATTCTTATGTTTACACTTCATGACTGTTCCGTAACTGCCCTCTCCCACTTTGCCAAGGGTTTCGTACATCTCCATTTTGAAGCCTGGCTTGTACTTCTTCAGGGAAAGAAAAACGGAACAATTTACAAGTTGTCCTCGGATTTATTATGCACCACACTCCCGCTGAGGCGGGCAGGGGACGGCCGCGTGGGACCCTGACTTCACAGGCAGTGAAGGCGTCCTGGGGGCTCCGTCCCACACGGACACTCCCTCACCACAGGTCACCCCCAGGCGTGGGGTCCCACACTCCGTCAGGCACCCTACTCCCGCCCTCGCCCACCCGAACGAACCCCGGCTCCCCAGAAAAGCCTTGTTTCCTCAAACCCCACAGCTCAGACTCCCAGCCCGGCGTCGCGCCCCTTGCCCTACGGTCGACTTGGTCCGGGCAACCGTCACCGCCTCAGCCCATTCTGGGCCTCCGCGCAGCACCGGGCCGGCAACCGGACGCCGCCGACTCCGCTCGGCCCGCTCTAGCCGAGCTGGAGGCGCAGCCGCTCGCTACCATGGCAACGCTGGGGGTGGGGAGAACGTCGCTCGAGGCCTAGTGCGCAAGACCGGAATGTCGCCGTGGTCCGCACCCGGAAGGCAGAGTGAGAAGCGGAAGTGAGTTTGTGGGGCGGCGTTAGTGGGAAGCAATTGGCTCGTTGGGGAGTGAGGGATCTCGGAGGGTAGGGCTTGGGTTGGGCAGGGGCGCACTATTCGCCTGCAATGTGAAGGATTGCAGGGCCTCTAGGGAAGGGACACTCCAGAGCGCAGTGTCCGTTGTGCGTTCCCCGAAACTGGCTTCCCCTAAATACTACACTTGATCTTAGCCAAAAGGCCGAGAGGCGATTGGCTTCCCCTAAATACGAAGAAGTGTATCATTCTGTAAACTCTAGCCTAACATGCACATTAGAATTATTAAAAAGCTTTCCCACCATCTCAGTTTAGTTGAGACAAGAAACTGATATTCTTAAAACTTCCCAAATATTTCTACGACGCTGATTATGTTGAGCAGGAAAATGAAGAGTCGTCATTGTTTATTATTTCCACCCCCACCCCCCCAGAATTCTCTTGTTTTGAAAAGTTATTCAACCTTAACCATTGAATATTTGCAAGGGACAAACCACCACAAGCCAGATATACACGGGATGGAGCTACTGCTTGGGATGTCCCGGTCGCGATTCCAGTGCTGCAGGCTCGGTTCTCCAGCCAGTGTCCTACCACTGTGAGACTGAGGGCAGCAGGTGGTGACCAAGGGACCCCCTTTCCACTCCTGCCGTTATCTTCTTGCATTGCCTTTCACAACATGGAACACCCTACTGAATTATTTGCGTAGATTTCGTGGACAAGCAACCAACCACTCGCTGACTTGCTCTGGAGGGTGCACCCACATTTTTAAACAAAGGTACCATGGTCGTAGATACAAAACTGACTTTCCAGAAGGCCTTTTTAATCAAACCGTGGACGACCCACACATAATTCCTTGATCTTGACCTAATAGTTCCAACCTGAGGAACCCCTCTGCAAGGCAGGCACAGGCAGTCCTTAACGAGGCATTCCACGGGTTTTTTGCTCTGCGGCCTCAACACCCCACGCGGAGTTAGTGGGAAAATTGTAGTTCTTTCAGTCTTGCTTCCTGCTCTACATACTAAATGTGATTAAGAAAGTAATCAAACCCTGAGTTATTTTTTATTCCCTTAAAAAAAACAACTTATAAAACAAGTCCTAGGTTCCGTCACAATCCCCTTGGGAAGGTCCCTGTTATCTGGGGCAAAAGAGGAGAACAGCTAATAACAAGGGTCTCGCCGTCCACTTCCTAGTCCCGACCCACACGCAGGTTCAGGGGGCGCTCTCACGTGAACGCAGCGTCACAGGGACACGTGGTTCTAGACGCTTCGTCCCCTCCCCCTCAGGGGGTGGATTGTTGACAACGCCGCCGGAGGTCACGTGATCTTACGTCATCCCTTCGCCTTCCCCCTGAAATCTCTGGCCCCGGATGCGGTCCCTCTCGCCCCACCCCGCCGAATCTAAGTTGGTGACGGGGCGGGGGGGGGAGGAACAAACTAGTATTTCGGTTTCGGTGTCGCTTAACCCACAATCTCTGGTCTGAGCACGGAGAACCCCAACTTGTCGTTTAGATCAGGAAGCTGGGATGACACCGCTGGCGGCCGCCGGGCTGCGAGAGGCAGCTCCGCGCCGCTCCGCCCCGCGGCGGCCCCTGCCTCCATGGTAGCGGCGGAGGGCGGAGGGATCTGGAGGCGGCGGAGGGAGACGTCATCGCGGGGTTGTTTGTGCAGTCTCGGCGGCGGCGCTGACCCGCAGTGATTCGGCCGCCGCGCCGGGGTGGGGGGGCTGCGCGGGACTCTTTTTTTTCTTCCAGGTTGACCGCGGGGCAGCTGGGGAGCATGTCGACCCCGGCGCGGAGGAGGCTCATGCGGGATTTCAAGCGGTAAGGCTCCTCTCTTTCCCCACCAGATGGCGGCTCTTTCCTGGAGCTGTGGGGCTGCAGGGCGGGGATCCGGGACACCTTACCCCGATGCCCGGCTGTGGGCCAGGTGGACCGACGGAAGAAGCCCTGTACTAGGCTCGGCTCTCTCGCCCTTTCGATCTCGCCGCTCGCTCCTGACGAGTGAGAAATTGAGATAATTCTCTCCTCCCATCCCCCTCGACAGTAAGAAGGTGGCCAGCGGCTGGCTCGGCGTCCCTGCTGTTCCCTCCGGCCCGTTGTCCGAGCGTCGCCCTGCACCCTGCGGCGCCCCTCTCTCTACCTCAAAGTGGGCTTTGCGCCTCGCCTGCTGCAGCGGTCAGCATTGTTCTGCCGCTCGGGGAAGCAGGGTTGGGACGAAAAGCCCTCCCTCTCCCCCCCTCCCCCGTTCCTTTCCTTTCTGCAGGGAGGGAGGGTGGGGTCGGCCGCGCGAGGTCCGGAGGTGGTTAACACCATCCCCGAAACCCGACCCTGCCCGCGCCCGCCTGCCAGGACCTTGAGAAGCGGCTTCCGAGCTGGGCTCTGGCCGGCCAACCCGGCTGCCAGCAGCAGCAGCAGCGCCTTTGGAACCGGGCTCTGGCTGGTGAATCAAACACTATCTATAGCTTCCCGAGCCTGGACCCATGCCTCCGCCCGCCCTGGCGCTCACCCGCTGCTCCCAGCAGCCTCCTTTTGTAAAAGCGCTTCGTGTTGGGAGTATTGCCACCCTCCCCCCCTTTTTTAAAAATCTTGTCTGGAGTATTGAGAGGTAGACATACACGAGTGAGAGAAACCTAGCCAAGTTTTTCGAGTGGCCAGCTCGCCTTAATTGAAACTAGATATGTGGTAGCAAAACTTGGATTTGTCGCTCAGGAAGTTACCTACCTCTCCACTTCGCCATCAGAAAGCCTTATGTAAGATGTTGGGAAGCCATTGTCTGGGGTTTGGACATTGAATTCACTCTTTGCTTCTCTTAGCAGTTTCAAGGTGTAGCAGTATAGTTCCTCTGGTTTCTGGTTACCAAATCATGTTCTTAATGCAACTGATTCCAAAGTTATATGAGAACAAGCGCTCATGCAGCCATCTCTGTAATGTAGCAGTTGATGGTGGCAGTCCCCCGGAAGGGACCTCTGATGCAGACATCTTGTTTGTAAAAGTTTGCATTCAGTAAGTTTGATGTGCTCGCACGGCTGAAATTCAACTGGTGAAGCTTCAAGCCCAGGTCCACTGTAGGCACCCCCGCCTCCCTCAGGGTCCTTATTGTGAGTGAGGGTAAGGTGGACCTTTTGGTGTTTGTTCCAGAGTCTTGAGGTGAGGAGAACTTGAGGGAAGCTTCCCTGGCAGACAGGTTGATGTCTTTTGGGGGGATTGTTGGGCAGCCCAGCTTCTGCTTGGATTACTCTGAAAAACCATTGTGGTTGAGTTGAGGAAGAAGCTGCAGGCACTCTGGTGCCCACACTGTCCCTGAGTCAAGGGCATTGTCAGTGCAGTGGGCCCTCTGTGGGTGCCCTCAAGTTTGCCCTCCAGTGTCCTTTCTGGCACCTGTGTTGCCCACCTGCTGCGCATTGGAGCTGCAGAATCTGTAGTTCTGATTTAGTATATTTTGTTCTTGAGGGTCAAGGAGGCCACGTGTCTTCCTGAAGGGTGATTGCTGGCCCACTTGGTTCAGCTCTCCCTGGCGGATGGGCTCTGTCTCTGTGTGACAAGGAGGTGGATTCCGTTTGTGTCTGAGTAGATGGGGCAGAGTCCACAGGTGTTCTTGGCCGCCTGCGTGGCTCCTGTTCCCCTTTGACAGTGACTACTCTGGGTTTCTAGATTGCAAGAGGACCCTCCTGTGGGTGTCAGTGGCGCACCCTCTGAGAACAACATCATGCAGTGGAATGCGGTTATATTTGGGTAAGTTGAAAGATTTCAGCAAATAAGAGTGGTGACTCTAGAAGAAAACTGAACATTCAATTACCTGGCAGACGGAAGGAGGTTGAACAGCAGCAGCAAGATGAGTTAGAACAGTCTTAGAGGTACACAGTGTGTTTGCACTTCGGTGGCATCACATAGGGTTTCATACTCACCCTGTGTTTACATTATTAAAAAAAAAAATAACTAGTTGAAACTAAATGAAATAATAAGAGGAAAAGGAACTATTTTGTACAAACTGCCATGCCAGTATTTATGTTCTTATTATTTTGGAGCCAAAACAAAAAAGTCTTGGAACCAGAAATACTGAGAACTTGCACTGTGGCACAGGTTTAAATGCAGATGTTTCACATCCCGGTGTGAAGTAACTAGAGCCATTTGAGAGCCAGTCTGATCTTACACATTGAACGTATTATGGTCTGCTGTAGAACATTTCCTTTGTTGCTCTGGTTTTCCCTGACTTGCTTTCTTTCCCTCACTCTTTTTAAACCAAAGTGTCGTGCTAATACTTAAAATGCTTACATATAAACCCCCAGGAGTTGTCAGAGAACCAGCTGTAAGTCTGCATGTGGTGGCTAGTAAGGCAGCAGAGGCCACTAGGTCCATTCTGTGAGGCTGTGACCTGGACTGAGATTTCTAGTGGGCCCTGCTGCTGCTGAGAAGGGTGAGGTTGGCAATGGCCTGAGCAAGCAGGTGCTGCCCTCGGCCACCCCTGTGCTCGGCGGACCTGAACTAGAGCTCTTGCTCTTTGGGAAGCAGGACCCTTCGTGTGCCAGTCAATAACTCTCCATTATGGTCTGAAAATGAAAAGGTGTTTTTTCTCAAAGGAGAATACATTCTGATAAAATGCTTACTATTTATAAACTGAATTCTTCCTGTGTTAAAATTGGGGGCAAGGTGTTTGGAGTTTTTGTGTAAAACCAGGAATGTGTCTCTTGCCTGCTCCTGTGAAAGCCCAGGCCTCAGTGGTCCTAAAACTCCATAAATCACTGAAATGAGGTTCCACTCGTGAAGATCAAGAAAAAGAATGAAAACCTGTTTTTAATTAAAGCTCTTCTTATTTTCAGACCAGAAGGGACACCCTTTGAAGATGGTAAGTCATTCTTCACTGTGTTTTCTTGAGGGGTAAATGGGCTGTTGTGAGTAGGAATTAGAATGTCAGTGTACTTGAAGCAGGTTTCTGCTGTTGGTAGGTCAAGTGAAAAGTAAAGCTTCCAGGAATTGGCTGTATGATAGATGCTTTCCCCATCAGCTTGGTCAACCTCATGGCCAGTTTCTAGGTTATTTCTGACGCTTGTCCACAAGCCAGAACGGCAGGGTCTGTGATCACCCATAAGCAGTTAGCAGTCTGTGTAATCCACGTTGCAAGTTTTCACCAGGCACCTTAATGTTTATTTATCATTAAGCTTATCAAATTAACTGATGTTTGGCTTTTCCCTAATTACATGAATTTTTAAAGAAATTGTGAAACAGCTTCGTTGCAATGATTAAAGTGACTTCAGAATTGATCCCTTGAGGGTTTATATACTAGAATGATACCTGCAGCGCCATTTGCTATCAGATTATATCAGGGGTGGACTTTGGCATCTCACATCTCTGCAGAGTGTCTGCCAGCAAAAGCTGCTTTTACCCAGACATGTGCCATATTGGTGGCACAGAAGCAGTCATGGTAAACTGCTGCTAAATACTTCAGTGTCTCAGCAGCACATCACGATGGGCACCAGCATGGGAAGGTGTTAAAAAATCGCTTTAGAACATGGTGGAAGGTGCTGGGGTGTTGAATTCTGTCCTTGTGTTGACATCCTGATGAGGCAGGAGTAGTCCTGCTGCTGCACCCCTGGTGTCACGGTTGCATGGAGCACAGACCTGTCCTCAGGTCTGAGGTGCAGCTTTTGTCCGGGAACATGTTCACTTGGAAGAATGATGGACAGACTGGACAGATTGTTCAGGTTCAAATGTGAGATTATGGTATTCAGGGCCTGTTGCAGTGGGCTCTTGGGTTATGGAAAGCAACTGAAAAAAAAAGCTGCTGCTAAAATGATGGCTTCTCAGCACGTCCCCTTTTCTGCTGAAATTACCAGTGATGCCTGCTGTTCAAGTCTTTGAATAGTATACGAAGGAATGTGGCATTATTTGGAAGTTCTGTAAATCTTGACAGAATCTGTATTTTCCTCATAATCAAAAAATAATATCACAGACTAGTGATAACAGGTTTATATAGTGTGCAGATGTCAGTGTAGCTGAGGGCAAAATGTTTCTGTATTACAGTGGTTGGAGATTCTGTTTTGCAACAAACCTTTAACAAAATTAAAAACTACTGCTTTGGTGTAAGAGCCAAAGAAATAATGTCTATGGTTTTCTGAAGAGATTATGAAGACAGTCCTTTCTTCAATTATAAATTTGTATGAGGCTGGATTTTCCTCAAGCAAATGTACTGTACAGCATATGTAACATTGAGAGCAAAAGCAAGAGAATGCAGCCGCCTCTGTGAAACCAGTCATTAATGAGAGCTACGTGTTTGATTAAATATGTCACATGGTTTAATATGTAATGCATTGAATTACTTTTCAGTGAATTAGTAAATATTTTTGACTTCTTAGTTTCTGCTCCCAACAAAAATGACCTCAGTAGTTCTTCCCAGCTGCACTGGAGGCAGCCTGTGCAGAGTCACAAGAGCCACTTGCCTCCCTGGCAGGAGTTCTTGTAAACTGTTTATTGGAGACATTATTTTAAAATTAAATTATGAGAAAGATGGATAGAAAATATAATAATTGGGCCCGGCGCGGTGGCGCAAGTGGTTAAAGGTCCTCGCCTTGCACGCCCGGGATCCCATATGGGCGCCGGTTCTAATCCCGGCAGCCCCGCTTCCCTTCCAGCTCCCTGCCTGTGGCCTGGGAAAGCAGTCGAGGACGACCCAAAGCTTTGGGAACCTGCACCCGCGTGGGAGACCCGGAAGAGGCTCCTGGCTTCGGACCGGCATAGTATCGGCCCGAGGCGCTCACTTGGGGAGTGAATCATCGGACGGAAGATCTTCCTCTCTGTCTCTCCTCTCTCTGTATATCCGCCTTTCCAATGAAAGAATAACAAAAATAAATCTTTAAAAAAAAAAAGAAAATATAATAATTACTCAGACTTCACTCCTGTCTTGCTGGGGGTTTTTTTTGTTTGTTTTATTTGTAGAAAAGCCATAAATTGATATGGCTTTACATGCATCCATTCCCAGCTTCCTGTTCAGTGAATTCTCACTGGAAGCTTAGCCTAAGAGAATGAAGTGGCTCTTAAAACAAACTTAGATAATGGTTTGCTTATGGTTTTATATTGCATTCTTATAGTTAAAATGTAAATTTTGAACATGAGTATACTTATGTGTATGAAGTTAGAAAGGCAGACAGACAACCATTGAGAGTGCCTGTCTCTTGGAAATGGGATTGGAGTTTAGAGACCTTTAACTTCTGGTGCATTCTGTATAAGTGTGTGTGTGTGCTTAACATACCTGTGGCTCTGCTGACCATTATACACTGATTTAAACTTACCAAAATGGACTGTGCTGACCTGTAGCCAAGTGCAGCTAAGCAGACCTAGGCTTCATGTCGTTGGGCCGTTGGTGCATGGCTAGAGCTGGCCTTTCACCTCAGCACTTGGACCTCCAGTCAGGGTCTTTGGCCATGTGGTTGACTCCTCTCAAAATCCTTTGGCGTGTAAGAAGAAATAATATATGAAGCAGGGAAAAGGCAGCCTATGCTTTCCTATTAAAAATGCTTCTTCCAGTAGGTGTTTTAAATTTGTGTAGCAAGAGCCCACTTGCCTTCCAAAAATAGGGCAGTTAATACTCCCAACAATGGCACATAAAAGTGCTGGTTTCCCAGGTGCTTGTCAATGCTACCTGTTAACAGTCTAAAATAAGTAGACATGTATTTTGTATGCTAATCCAAAGTTAACATAGTAGCTTTTATGTGGTTGCATAAAAACCAGTATGGAGTTGAAAATTAACTGGTAAAGAAAATAGGAAGTTGTGCTTGTCTTTACTGTCGTTATCTTGGTTTGTGTTTTATCCAGGTACTTTTAAACTAGTAATAGAATTTTCTGAAGAATATCCAAATAAGCCACCAACTGTTAGGTTTCTATCCAAAATGTTTCATCCAAATGGTAAGTAGCAGTTTATTGGATGAGGAGGGTGGTGAAGGGCTTTTGCGTGCTGTCCCTTTTCTCTTCCAGTTAGAACCCTCTTGCATGTACTGCTTCCCTGCCCAGGTCAGCCCCATATTTGTCACTTCCTGTATCAAAAGTTCCTGGTTTGGGTTCCAGTGTCTTGCTTCTGATTTGGATTCCTGCTAATACACACCCTGAGGAGCAGGTTCATACATGTGGAAGACCTAGATTAAGTTGTTTGTTCCTGATTGTAGCCTAGCCCAGCCCTGGCTGTTATAGTCTTTTGGGGGAATGAGTCAGAAGATGGAAGATTTCTTTCTGCCTTTCAAATAAAATGAAAATACATTTTTAAAATCTTTTTTTTTTTTTTAAGATTTATTTATTCTTATTACAAAGTCAGATATACAGAGAGGAGGAGAGACAGAGAGGAAGACCTTCCGTCCAATGATTCACTCCCCAAGTGACCACAACGGCCGGTGCTGTGCTGATCTGAAGCTGGAAACCAGGAACCTCTTCCGGGTCTCCCACACGGGTGCAGGGTTCCAAAGCTTTGGGCCGTCCTTGACTGCTTTCCCAGGCCACAAGCAGGGAGCTGAACGGGAAGTGGAGCTGCCGGGATTAGAACCGGCGGCCATATGGGATCCCGGGCATTCAAGGTGAGGATTTCAGCCACTAAGCCACGCTGCTGGGCCCACATTTAAAAAATCTTGAAAAAAAAGTCAATAAATCCTCCTCTGCACACAAACAAAAGCTCCAAAGTGAAGCAAAGATGGTTTGTTTGGATAACTTCTGAATTAGATGTTTAAGTCAAATTGATTTCTGCAAATCTGAAAGTATTTGTCACCTGAGATTTAACTTTGAAAAAAATAATTTGGGGCTAACACTGTAGCACAGTGAGTTAAGCTGCCATCTGTGACATGGCATCCCATATTGGGTACTAGTTGGAGTCCCAGCTGCTCCAGTCCAGCTTCCCTCAGATATGGCTGTGATAGCTGATGTGCTTAAGCATCTGCCACCCATGTCAGATGCCTAAAGAAGCTCCTGACTTCAGCCTAACCCAGCTCCGGCCATTGTGGCCATTTTGGGAGTGAGCTAGGAGAAGGATGTTTGTCTTCTCTTTATCCCCTCCCCCCCCCCCCCGTCAATCTGCCTTTCAAAATAGTTTTGTTTATACAAAATTGGGACCAGGCATCTGAAGCATACATGTATTTTTTTTTTAAAGATTTTATTTTTATTGGAAAAGCAGATACACAGCAAGGAGAGACAGAGAGGAAGATCTTCCCTCCAAATGGTTCACTCTCCAAGCGGCCACCATGATCGGAGCTGAGGCTATCCGAAGCCAGGAGCTTGGAGCCTCTTCTGAGTCCCAAGGCTTTTGGCTGTCTTTGACTGCTTTCCCAGGCGACAGGCAGGGATTTGGATGGTCCTGCATACATGTATTTTTTAAGTTCCATAAGGATTTATTCTTTTATTTGGAAGGCCAAGTAACTGTGCACGCATGCATCCTGTTTGTGCTGGATCTCTCATGTTATGCCAGTATTAATCTATACCTGATACGTTGTCTTTGCAGTGTATGCTGACGGTAGCATATGTTTAGATATCCTTCAGAATCGATGGAGTCCAACATATGACGTATCTTCTATCTTAACATCAATTCAGGTGAGGGTATGTTAAAGTGTGTCATCATTTCTTAACATTTTATGAAATTGGACCACATCTTAAAGGAGCAGTCTGAAGACCGGGGGAGACTCGGACAGAGCTCTGACTAAAAGTTGTGATTTTCAGCCGACTGGTCAGTGTGGCACCTGTTCCATCCTCCTTTTCCTTACTCCATCTGTGAGTTATGTGTTCTTATGGATCACACTTACACTCAGGTCCCTGAACCATAGCTGCAGGATGTGGAGAAATAAATATGGTACCTTAGGAACCACGGGGTCCTAAAGAAACTGCCAGGTGTGGAGAAAGACTGAGGTGTGGCCAGAGTGCCTGGCAGTCTGTCAGAGTGAGAGATGTGGGAGGTGTAGAAGTAAACATCTTGGCTTATATTATAAACATTCTCACACTTTTTAAATTCCGTTTACCATACAAGCATTAACCTCAGCCTTCCTGTTTTATTACTGCACTGTGAAACGTGTATTTTGTTGATTAAATAAGATTGGTCCCCAACCCCAGCTTACTAGCAGATATTTGGAAAGCAACTACAATCATAGTTGAAATGTGGGAAAATCTTGATTACTAAGATGTACATCAACATTCTGTTGTAACCACATGCCACTACTGATCTTGTTAATATGAAAGTCTCATTGCTGAGCAGTATTGCTTTTTTTTATTTTATTGCAATCTGAGGTTTGAAGGCTAGTGGAGACTACTATTCTTAGAAGCTTTCTAAGAATTAAGACCTAAATATATGACATTCAGTAGTTTCAGTAGAGTAGTTTTTCTAGACTCCTTATCTGACTCCTGATCCAGTACAAGGTGTTACTGTGCCAACCAGTTTTTTCTTCCCTCTTTTCTTCTAGTCTCTGCTGGATGAACCAAATCCAAACAGTCCAGCCAATAGCCAGGCAGCACAGCTTTATCAGGAAAACAAACGGGAATACGAGAAGAGAGTTTCAGCAATTGTGGAGCAAAGCTGGAATGACTCCTAATAGACACCCGGCCTGTCGGTCTCTCCGTCACTGTTGTGCATAATTGACCTCCAGTAGAAAGGCTAACAAATTTTAAGTGCCACAGGTTTTAAGGATTCTGCAGAAAAAAAAAAAAAAGAAAAAAATCCTTCAGTTTAGAACCTACAAAAGCTTGTGTATCTTGATTAATGTACTTTTTATTGCATGGTGTGAACTAAGTTATTGCTGCATAAATTTGTAATATATCCTGTTTGTATTTTTTTCCAAGTGTATAATGTTGGTGTGGAGTTTTCATGACAGAATATACACATTTTGTAAATCTGTACTTTTTTCAAATATTGAATGCCTTATTTTTTGAATTCTTTAGATTTTTAAATTGGAGAAAAGCACTTAAAAGTTTTTTATATATGAATATTACATGTAAAGCTGTTAAATACATAACTTCAGTGCAAGACACTTTGTCACTTATTTCCTTATGTGTGTAGGAGGGAATAACTCCAGCTTTCCATCAGCTGATCGTTTTGTTTCCAGTTTCAAAAGAACATACTTAGAAAGACTTGAGGTTTGATTCTGAATACAAGTTGTTATCTCCAGCTCAGTTTGGAATGTGCCTGTGTGTATTTAAAGGGTGTGATGCTAAAGAGAACCGGTTTGATTTGTCCAGCTCTGTGCTCCAGCCACCTGACTCAAGCCGAGCTGGCTCTTGCACTGGACCTTCTGCGGTCCCACTGTGTTCCACCCTTGACGCCTTGACCAGACACAGAGCCGCGATGCCACTTGGTAGCACTTTGAAAGGTTTTTGATGACAACAAACAGTAAAGCTGTAGAGATTCATCCAGTCATGTGTCCACACCGGTGTTCATGATGAACTGGTTACAGTGGTTTGAGCAAGACAGATAATTTTGAAAAAGAGTTGTTGGTGTGATTTAAATATTTGCAAGCTACCTTTTAATGCAATTGCCTGTTTATATTCTGGGAAAATGTATTAACTCCAGGGCCCACTGAGTTGGTTCTCTGTGGAGATGTTTTTATCTGCTAAGTTGTATAACAGTTTTCCTGTATCTTAGTTGACTGGAGAAAGTTGAAACAGTATTGTAGAAAGTTAATCTAAAGCTGTCTGATGCCTTCAGATAGTACAGAAAATGGAAAATGTATCAGTAAATTCTGTTGAACTACCTGTGTAGTCTGATAGTTGAAACAGCCGTTTGAGTAACCCTAAGAGTTTGTTGTCGTATACCTTGTAGCCACATAAGAATAAGCTAACAATTTCCTCTGGTGGAAAAGTGGGTCTGGTGTTACCTAAAGTTTCTATGCATTAAGCAGAATAGTGGGGTGGTAGCCTTTACATGCTCCTTGGTGAGCTGGAGGTTAGATTCTGATCTCAAGGAAAATGAATTGTGGGCATCTACTCCAGTGACTCCTGGATTAACACTGAGCAGCTCTAAGGGTTCCCCCTCTTATTCCCTTATATGCTGTTTGCAGTGTGCTTCAGCACCACTGCCACCTTTTATTTTTTCCTACCAACTGGTTCCCCCCACACACTGCATTTTTTTTAATAGATAACTATTTTTTACTAGTTGCTGGGAAGGCAGATTGACAGAGGAGGAAAGACAGATCTTCCGTCTGCTAATTCACTTCCCAAATGTCGAAAACAGCTAGAGCCTAGCGGATCTGAAGCCAGGAGCTTCTCAGTCTCCCACATGGATGCAGGGTCCCAAGGATTTGGATCATCCTCTTCTGCTTTCCCAAGCCACAAGCAGGGAGCTGGATGGGAAGTGGAACAGCTGGGACACAAATCAGCACCCATGTAGGATGCCAGTTTTCGCAGAGGATTGCCCGTTGATCAATGACACTGGCCCCTCTCCCCTTCTAAAGCGAGCATATCAGGTATTGAGGCAATTACAACGAAGGTGCAGCTTCCTTTGCAGGGAAGTCAGTGAGCTTTAACTCCTACACTCAATACTCAATACGCACAGAACGCGTTCCAGGCTCACGTGGAGGAAGGAGGGGGATCCCTGGTATGGTTCTGTCTCTGAGAAACCACTCTTTTTTTTTTTTTTTCCCTTCAGCCTCTAAACAGATTCCTATTTCTTGGGCTAAATATCAGAAACAAGCCTTCAGTTCGTAAGGTTATGTCATACATAATTGTTTACTGAGCTTTAGGTAAATTTTATAGACATCGCAGGGAACAAGTTGTTTCTGTAAGAAGGTACGTTGTTGATGTTATAGTTTAAACGCACTTGTGACACAGTTCCTCTGTCGTGATAACTTTAGCATGGAAGTTTGGTACTGTTGTAAGCACTTAGCTGATTTCATTCAAACTGAGAAGCCTGGGAGAGTAGGCACTGGTATGTAACAGGTGGAGTGACTTGGCCGAGGCCAGGAGCTGCTAAGTGATCCTGCTGGGCTTTGTCCAATCTGGTCCTTACAGCTCTCAACCACCCAGTAAAAGGCTTTCCTGTTCATCACTTTACCTCTCAAAAATGTACACAGAAGTCTGCATAGGAATATTCTGATAGAGGATTATAACTCCTTTTCTTCCTTCCCTGGAAATACCTTGAGTCTAGGATATCTCCAACCCTAAGAGAAGGTTCCATGAATACAAGTAACTCTGGAATTGATGTGAATTGTTCCATAGGTGGAAGACCACCTTCGTGCCCACTAAACTAGGTGTCAAACCTGGAACTCGGAGCTTGCTTTGGGTATGCAACACATTTTATCTCAGTTTTCCCAAGTTTTGGGAGATAGGGATCAAATTTCTGGGTCTTTATGGTGTTATTAGTCCTTTCTATTGTATTTGGTAATGCACACTTCTAGCAGAGCCTGCCAAGTATTTGGGAGTTTGCCAGCAGAAAAAGAGATTAAAGATAAGCTCACAGTATTGGTTCAAGTCCCCGCTGTTCCATTCCCAATCCAGATGCATATTCATACACCTGGGAAAGCAGCAGAAAACCTGCAAGAAGCCTTGGACTGGCCCAGCTCTTAAAACCAGTGGGTGGAAGAAAATCTGCCTTACAGTTCTTGGGAAAAAAAAAAAAAAGCCCACAGGCCAAGGGCAAGTTCTGCCTATCTTCACTGCAGCTTTTGAAACCACTCTTGGAAAGCCTTGAAATGTTTCTACTAGGATTTTTTGGTTTGTTTTTTTAATTGGGCTAAAAAAATGAGCTTAATGTGCCTGTCCCACAGCCCGACCCTAGCTCTTCAGTGCCTGAAATAAACTCTAGAAGGACTTTGACATGATCAAAGTTCAGACTTGGGGAAGCACTAGTCTGTCGGAATGATATCCAGAAACTGCCATTTCATGAGTGCACGTGGAACTGTAACCATAGGACGTTTATGATCCTGACTTCTGGGTGGATACATTTGCAAAGGCCCTGACACACAATGTGTCCTGCTGGGAGGAAGCACACAGGCTTCCCATGGATGACAAGTCCATAGGTAGTGACGGTCCTGGCTGCAGGAAGGGGGTGTCTGCAGGTCAGCTGATAATCGGGTCTTACCTGCAAGTCAAATCCTTTGAGTGCCTCTGTGTAAAGGGGATCAGAGCAGACTCCATCAGCCAAAACCATCCCCTTTCTGGGAATGAGGACTGATTATCCACCGTCCTGAAGGCTGTCCAGCAACTATCGGGCAGACCTCTATATAGCAAAGGGCTGGTGATGCTGCTTGTTAGAAACCCAGAGGATAAAGTGGACCTCCTCTACAAACTAAAGACCCTTGGCAAAGAATACCACCCACCAGCTGAACTGGACTAATAGCACTCCCACCAAGAAAATGCTGCAGCCCTTTGGCCCCTGCCAAAACTGGTATATAACACTAATTTGGAAAGTTTGTCACTGCTAGAACAAAGAAAACAAGGACTTAATAGTAACTTAATGAAGTAGGTGAGCAATTACTACTTCATTCTCAGCAGGTTAATTTCTCCTCCAGTAGGGAAAAAACAGATGCTTTTGCTTGGCCTGATAACCATACTGGGCAGGGGACGGGGAGGAATCCAGACTCCAGTCTTGGAAATCCCACCTCCTGGAGAAGCTGCATTACTAACCTTGCCGGCTCGGAGGCTGTGCTCCGTGATGTGCTGAGTGATGGCTTCTTGCAGTGTCAGCTGGAAGGTTGTCTTTAGAGACAGGACAGTCCCGGGGTGGGTACTAGGGACCCTGTGTAAGCCAGCAGGTCAAGAAGGACAGCATCAGGGCCAACAGTGGGCAAGGTGGTCAGTATGATGAGCTCTACCAGGGAAATCCGTTCCCCTTCCTGGCTTTGGTTGGCTTTTCCTAGAGTTCACACATTGGCTCTTGGGCAAGGTCTATGCATAGGGCAGCTTCCCAACAGGCCATAATCATCATGGCTCCTCCTCAAAGTCAAGTCAGAGCTCCAATAGTAAGACAAACATTATAAATGCTCACAATCAGAATCTGTTTTCCTGACAGCCTCAGGCTGGGCAAGTGGCCTGGGGGACAACAAGGACCTCTAGGCTCCATGTTCCAACTTCTTAGGAACACATTGTAAAAGCAGAGAAGAGAGCACAGCATTGTAGCACAGGGAGTTAAGCTGCCACCTGTGACACAGGCATTCCACGTGAGCATCTGAGTTCTGGCTACTCAACTTTTTTTTTTTTTTTAGGATTTATTTATTTTTTATTGGAGAGACAGAGGAAGATCTTCCATCCACTGGTTTACTCCAAGTGGCCACAACAGACAGAGCTGAGCCTATCTGAAGCCAGGAGCCTTTTCCGGGTCTCCCATGTGGGTGCAGGGTCCCAAGGATTGCTTTCCCAGGCGACATGCAGGAGGCTGAATGGGAAGCAGGGCCATTGATTAGAACCAGTGCCCATATGGGATCCTGGCACATGCAAGGCGAGGGCTTTAGCCTCTAGCCAACCGCACCAGAAAGTGGTTTTCAGGATGTAGGACGGAGAATGGTGAAAAGCATCACTGAGCACCTGAGCTGCACTTGCTGTTATTGCCTGCTTCTCACAAGAACCTTTCCTAGTCATTGTCCTTTTAAACCAGATTGACTTATTTGAAACAAAACAGGAGGGAGGCACAGGTCTTCCATCTGCTGCTTCCCTCCCTAGATGGGCACACAGCTAGGTCTGCTCTCCATATGGGCAGCAGGGGCCCAAGCATTGGGCCATCTTCCACTGCCTTCTCAGGCACTTTAGCAGGATGCTGGGTGGGAAGGCCCAGCAGTTGATACTCTAAGTAGCACTTTGATATTGGAGGTATCACAGTAGAGGTTTAATACAGTAGGTCACAACAATGCCCCCAGGTGTTTTGATCTTGTTTTTATTTTAGATTTTCTTCAAACTCACAGTGGTAGAGATGGAGACAGAGATCTCTCTGCTGGTTCACTCCTCATGGCTACAACAGCCAGAGCTGGCCAAGCTAAGCCAGTGAATCCATCCAGGACTCTTATGTGGGTGGCAGGGACTCAAGGCACACTGGCAGGGAGGAGGATGGGAAGCACAGTAGCCAGGATTTGAACTGTTGCTCTAATATGGAATGTCACATCCCAAGTGACTTACTTGACCGTGCCTAATGCCTGCCCCTTTAGTCAGAAGTTATACTTGGGGGGGCTAGCACAATGGCTCAACTGGCTAATCCTCCTGTTACAAGTGCCAACATCTCAAAGATACCAGTTTGTGTTTCAGCTGCTCCTCTTCCCATCCAGCTTCTGTTGGGGCCTAGGAAAGCAGTGGAGGATGGCCCAAGTGCTTGGGTCCCTGCATCCACCTGGGAAACCAGAACAAAGTTACTGGCTCAACTTCAGCCAGTGTGGCCACTTGGAGAGGGAACCAGCAGATGGAAGATCTTTGTTTCCCCTCGCTGTATGTAAAATCTGCCTTTCCAATAAAAATGTATAAATAAAGAAGTTTTAATTGGGTGCTCATTTCAGTAGCACATGTACTAAATCCGAAGTTATACTTCAGGGCCAGGCCACGGTGTACCAGGTTAAGCCTCTGCCTGTGACAACAGCTCAGTTCCAGTGGCTCCACTTGTAATCCAGCTCACTGCTGATGACCTGAAAGGATGGCCTAAGTGCTGGGCCCCTGCTCCCACCTGGGAAACCTGGAAAAAGTTTCAGGCTCCTGGGTTCAGAGTGGCCCAACTCCAACTGTTGGGGTCACTAGGGGAGTAAACCAGCAAAGGGAAGCTCTCTTTCTCTCTAAAAACTGTGTTTCAAATAAAAATAAATCTTTAACAGAAGGAAAACTTGACCATGGCCCGTCCTCTGACCTCCACCCGATCATCTTAGGCAGGGCAGTATAAACACCAGGACCTCACAGTTTGTATGCAGCATGGGCTCTTGTCTCAAAGCTGGCAGTGGCCACTTTCACTTTCCCACAAGGAGTGCTACAATGCAAACACTTAGATTTCTTTGCTACTTTCTATTCTAAAAATATACAGAGGATAAAATTGTAATATTCATTAATTCTATAAGTGAGATAGTCACTGAGGTTGTACAAGAAGTAAAACACTTTAGGCTTAAGAAACAATGAGGAGGGCCTGAAGCAGAGGCCTAGTGGCTGAAGTCCTCATCTTATACGTCCCAGGATCTCATTTGGGCACCAGTTCTAATCCAAGCTGTCTCGCTTCCCATTCCAGTTCCCTGTTTATAGCCCAAAGCCTTGGGACTCTGCACCCACATGGAAGACGAAGAAGAAATTCCAGGCTCCTGGCTTCAGACTGGCTCAGCCAGGCTGTTGCAGCTTCTGGGGGAGTGAATCAACAGACAGAAGATCTTCCTCTCTCTCCCCTCCTCTCTGTATATCTGACTTTGCAATAAAATAAATAAACCTTTTTTTTTTTTTTTTTTTTTTTTTTTTTTTTTTAGATTTATTTTTATTATTTTTTTATTGGAAAGGCGGATATACAGAGAGGAGAGACAGAGAGGAAGATCTTCCGTCCGATGATTCACTCCCCAAGTGAGCGCAACGGGCCGATACTATGCCGATCCGAAGCCAGGAGCCTCTTCCAGGTCTCCCACGCGGGTGCAGAGTCCCAAAGCCTTGGGCCGTCCTCGACTGCTCTCCCAGGCCACAAGCAGGGAGCTGGAAGGGAAGCGGGGCTGCCGGGATTAGAACCGGCGCCCATATGGGATCCCGGGCGTGCAAGGCGAGGACTTAACCACTTGCGCCACCGCGCCGGGCCCAATAAATAAACCTTTAAAAAAGAATGAGGGGGGAAAAAAAAGGAAAAAGACCATTAGAAAAAATTTTTTGACCAAAGAAATCTCAAGAATAGGAGCTTGAGGATGTCATACCATAATTTAAATTTTATTACTTTATTTTGGGATATTATACATATAAAATGAAATTCTTGAGAAACCTATGAAAAACTCATTTTTAAATGAGTAATCATACTCCCCCATTTCTTAATTTGATCTGTTAAGTCTTACAATCCTGTCCAAATAATCAGAATAGAAATGGCTAGGCTACATTTGAGGAAAAGATAACACTAAGTTCACCAAGTTGCTGCCCTTGTCTTCTAACACCGGCTGGCAGCCTTACTGTGGCTTATTCTGTAACTTCGGTGGCTTCCATTTTCCACGTAAGGCTCATTAGAGTGGAGAAGCTTACAGATCAGAGATCCTGACTTCATCACTCAGTCCACTCTGGTGGCCAGGAGGGAGGCCGGCACTAGAAGCTGCCCTGATGTGCTGTGTGAGCTTCACTCGGAGCCCAGACTCTGCAGCTCCCCTTCAGAGGAAGCTAAGGCCAGGTCCACAGCCAAGCACAGAGACGCCTGTGACTGGAATGAGCGTTCACACTGCTGTCCCCAGTGACGGCCCTCCCAGGATCCGGGCCTATGGCAGGGATTTACAGCTAAGACACAAGAAGACAGGAACGAAATAAACACAGTATTCAAGGGGGAACAGTCTCCAATTTTACAGCTAAGGAGGATCACACTCTTAAGTATTTGTTAAAAAGTATATATGTAAGGTGGTTCCTCAAGTCGGAACTTGAGCCTCAGGTACCCTCCTGGGCGGGGGAGCGGGCTTTAGTCAGCAGCCAGGAGCCCCACGGAATCTACAGCTAAGGCCAGATGCTGCTCTGTAGACTGCCTCTTCCCCTCAGGCGGCGCGCACCTCAGGCACGTGATCTGCTTCCCATTTCCTATGAAAAGACTTACTCTGTACCAGCAGGGTATGGATACAAGACAAACTTCAGGTTGGCAGAAGGAAATAAAAGGATCTGGTTTGCATCAGTGGGAAAAAAAAGCCATAAACAGAACCACGCTTACACACACACTGTAGAAAAATCTAAACTATAAAATTATTACGTGCCATTATTACATCAATATTTATAAAAAAAAGCATTTGAATAAGAAGTTTGGCACTTATAAAAAAAAAAAAGGAAAGATGGCTTATGGCTTGTACAACGTTGTTGAGCTCATCTTAGATGCCATGATTTATAAATACATAAATACCCATGCATATTTTTACAGTGACAGCTACTGGAACGAGGAAGACTTTTGAAAATGCCAATTGAGACAGACTTTCTCACTCCACCTGCATCTTCCTGTTGGCAATTCTGGAAGTCTCAAGAGCTATGTAGTCAGTGTCCAGTTCATCGGTCCCCTCTGTAAGCCTGTAGCTGATGGAAATCGGCTTATCTTCTGTCTCAGCTGTGATGCTGGTGGAAGAAAGGAGAAACAAGGGTTACTCAAGCATGTAGTCCAACGAAGGAATTCATCTTCTTTCAGTTAACACACAGCAGTGCTATGTACGACTAGGAAACTAATACTGGACTACAGTTAAGAAAGCTCAGCACAGCACTGAACACACCATCCAGCCTCATCCTCCAGTCGCTCATCATCTAAAGTGATAACAGAAATACTTAAAATACACTTTTTCCTGGTATACACTACAGCAAACTGCTCTGAAGGCAAAAATCATACACACACACACCCCTTGTTCTAAATTAGAAGCAGGCAGATTCAGGTAGCAGTTCACAGCATTTCACATGCAGTCAGGCTATTTAGGGGACATGAAGGTGAGGTATTCCTGGATTTCACACTATTACAAGCTGAAAAAGCCTATCTTCAAATAGTAGTAAACTGCAGCAGCTTTTTCTGGGAACTCTCCAGCACCTTTGCTCAATTTAAATTTGGCCTTGGACAAGTTTTAAGTAGGGTGTGGAGAAATCACCTTGTATTTGAATGGATTTCCTTAACACTTAGCAGTACAAGTGAATCAGTCTTTTCAGTAATCGGAGATTTCAAGGTTTGACCTATTTCCTGGCTAAGCAGTCTTTAAGAGATGAAACAGACAAAAAAGGCCACAGCCAAAGCTAACTGTGGGGCGTCTCTGCTTTGAGAGGTGTGCAGTGTCCTGTCAGAGAGCCGACGGAAGCTGCACGGCAGCTGCCACTGGTTCTGGTGGCTGTAGGTTCAGTCTCGGGCAGGTGCTGCTTCATAGAGCTGGTTGTAACTTCTCCGGCTTTCCTTCCAGTGGACAGAGACAAAGAGAGCTCCACTGAGCACTTTCTGCAGGACCCACACCCTCTGGTTACTCGTGCCCAGGCTGAATACCCGCGCCAGTACTGGCACTGTGCAACTCAGCCCTCCATCCAGGGGAGCACCAGAAGTCACCTCAGGGCTCACTGGCCCCTGACAGCCTTCTGAGTTGCAGGCACACGTGTTTGTGGAACATTCACCTCTCAAATGGAACTACTATTCAAATTGCCATTTTTCTTGGGATAAAATGTTTTCAGGGAAAAATGGACCGTGTAATTCAGATGACGACTCCTCAGTCACTCACCCTCTCCTTGATGAAGACACTGCCCTGGACAGTCAGCAGTGACACCCTTACAGAGGCTGCTGAGCTTGCTGTTAATTAGCATTCATTAACGGGTAAGCGGGGTGCCCACCAAGGCTGCTGGTAGACATCCAGGGATCTCAGATTGCTTGTTTAATATTTGTGTTTGAAGAAAACAGTATCTCACACTACACCTGTTGGACAAACCCCACCTGTGGGAGACCAACTCTCATTTAAAAAAAAAAAAGTTGGTTGGACAGACAGCAGAGTTGTTCTTGCCTCAAAGTTGCAGAATGCCCGTGAAGGACTTGAAAACTCTACCTGAGTGGGCTTATGTCTGTCTCTAAGTCATCACTGTGTGCTTCAGAGACACCAGGCGACTAATTTTCACTTTGGAAATAGCTTTAGATCCAGCTAAACTCTAATTTTAGCAGATCAGTTCCAGGAATAGTAACAGACGTTTTCAGGTATATACATCATGGATTTTTGGGGGGCGGGGAGAGGAGGGGGTTCTCAGGCCTGGCCAGGGAGCCTAATGTTTGCCAGCCTCTACTGTGCATACAAACTAAAGGCAAGGAAGAATACTGCCACCAAGTGCAGTGGCTCCTTCCAGCGGGTCCTCAAGGCACCTGTCAACAACAGGGGCAGCCTCCTTAAGCCCACATCTGCTGTGACACACAGAAGAGATGAGCAGCTCACAGGATGGGCTTATCCAGACGACTCATTACTGGCAGAGCTCCACACACTCTCCAAGTAGTTCAAAAGCCTCAAATAACCCTACTTACTAAGAAAATGTAGCTCTTATTTGAGTGTCAGGATACACATGCCCAGTGGCCCCTTTCCAACATGTGGCAGTTTAGACAGACCCTTCCATGCAGTTTGCACCCACAAGTCAAGACATATTCTAATCTCTTAAATTAACACGACTGGAAAACTACAGTTCTACCTTTCAGAAAACACAAGACAGAGAAACAAACCTGAGAGAAGGGAGAAAACCTCTTAAGAACAAAAAGGGACCAATGTGCCACAGCTGCTGGCAAGTGAAGGGTTGTCACATTCTCTGCTTGTTCTGTGCCCCACGAAGTACACTGCAGTGGTCAGCAGCCTCTGCCCTTCCCAGGCTGGGCCCCCAAAATTCAAGGATCCCCAAATTCACAAATATCTAATTCACAAGGCTGCCTGGATTAAAAACAGTAGCCACCTGCTAATTTATTATAATTAATACATTAATTGATTATAAAACAAAACGGTGCCTTGAGCAACAACCTGAAATCTCTGGCTTCAAGTTCAAATCAAAAATTAGCAAAGAGGACAGAGTTGTGGCACATGTGGTTAAGACACCACTTGGAGCACCAACATCCCTAATCAGAGTACCAGTTCAAGTGCTCATGGCTCTGGCTCCAATCCAGCTACTGCTAAAGGCAGCAACAGATGGCCCCCATTACTCATGTGGGCTATCCAGATGGAGTTCCGGGCTCCTGTATGGTCCAGCTCCAACATACACAGTAGTGGGCATTTGAGGAGTAAACCTCTCTTTAGCCTTCTCTGCCTTTCAAATAAAATTTTATATACACCACCTGAAATCCACCACGATGTCCTGTTTGCAAATGAAATGCTTTCTGGGCAGCTGAGAATTTAACTTCATGAAGTCCTCCAGAGACATTATTTACCCTGCTTTCTCAACCAAGATGCAAAGAGGGTGAAAGAGTGCCTTAGCTAGGTCTCAGAAGGCAGACCGACAAAGAGCTCAGCTATCCTTCCTGTCTGGTCAGTCCTGGGAGGATCAGCTACTCTGCAGTATTCCTATCCTGAGTGTGAAGTACTAAGGGCGCTTGAGGCACCAACAAGGTTACAGTGTGCTCTGAAAGACACTTGGGTCAAGTACTCAAGGAATCCTGGGAGACGAGGGAGCAATTAATTCTGCTGCGAGGGACACTGGGACAAGTGGGAGCTGGCAATCCTGCCAAGTGGGGAGTAATGATGACCAGTAGGCAGGATGGCAGCCGCAGCCCACCTGATAACTCAGTAACACTCCACCAGTCCAGCTCCAAGGCCAAGAGAGGACTCTAGGCCAAGCCCATGGCGCACAAGGTCCACGGCCGAGGGGAAGGGCCCTGCAGAGCACGGGACAGTAGTGGCATCTGGACATCACTCCAGCCATGTTCCTAGCAGCACATTGCTCACCAGAGACCAAATCCCAACCCACCCTCACTTACTGTGGAAACAAAGTATTGAGTCTCACATAACAAGTGGGAAACTGTAGCACTCCAGTCAGTATTTTGAAAATCAAGCAAAAGCAATGTTCTTAGACAAGCAGAAGAGGTTGTTCATGTTACTTTACCACCAGTGTGCACTTTATTAGGAAAATCAAAACGAAAAGCTTCTTCCTCAGGGCAGCAAACAGCAGCATTCCAGATACCACACAGTGATGCAGCAGGTTACCCCTTCCGCTTGTGAACCTGGCAGCTCCTGTCAGAATGTCAGTTCAAGTCCCCGCTGCTCCACTTTCCCTCCAGCTCCTTGCTGGGCCACGGAACTAACATGCCCAAGTGCTTGGGTTCCTGCCGCCCACGGAGGAGACCCAGATGAAGCCCCAGGCTCCTGGTTCTGGCTGCATCAGCCTTGGCTATTGTGGAGCTGCAGGGAGTGAACCAGCAGATGGAAGACCCCTCTCTTCCAGTCTGTTGTTCTGCCTTTCACATGAAACAAATAAATATACTCAATTACAGATCATGCACTCTACCACTCCATCAGATCCACCTGGCAATCCCATGTACCTTTTTCATTAATTCACTTCTAGTAGTGAACTGTGGCAGGTCTTCCACTTCAATTCCATCAGCCATTTCCATCACCTTGTCTAAAAGGTCTTTATTGTAACTGCAGAATAAAAAGTAGCAATGTGAAAACCTTGGAAGAATCACCTGTCCCAGTGGGCCTCAGGGGACTGCTGGAAACTCCTGGGGAAACCAGCACAGCTCAGTACATGGTTGAGCTCTGGCAGCAATGAATACCAAGAAAACCAAAGGAGCAGGTAGTTCGAGATTTACAAAAACAGCGGGCCCCTCTGCTTAGCCAGATATATGTCCTTGGACATGATATAGGAGGCAAAAAGATTCTTTAAGGAAAAAAAAAAAAATAGGTGGTAAATTGGTATAATCTTGAATCCTATAAACCACACAGTCCCAAAAGGCAGAGAAGAGACTGTTACGTCGGGTTCTTTGCCCCCACCTCCTTTTCTAAAACATCCCAACTTTCTCGAAGCCAAACCAAGTGGCTCAGGCCTGCAGCGGTCATGTGATCTGCACGAGGCATATACTGCTATCTTCCCCAGTGCTTCGGGCATTACAGGGGTACAGGGAACTTCTCGCCATGTCAGGCGCTCCCCAGCAGCCTCCTGCCCTGCGGGTGCAGTCGCCAGGAGCCAGTGGACGTCTCAAAGTGAAGGGTGGGAGGGATGAGACTGGGGAGGAACCGCCCTCCCTCAGCCGGGGTCTCTACCCGTCGGTGGGCCACGAAGGGCCAAAGAAGTAAGGGGTTACAGAAACTAAGGCCCAGGGACGGCCGGGATGGGACTCAGACGAGCCGAACGTTCGCACCTGCAGCCCAGGAAGAGGTGGTTGGCCCACACCATGGACAGGGACAGCAGCTGGTCCAGACGGCCGCCGCCATCGGGCGGGTCGCGGTAGTCGGGCAGGTGGCGCAGGATGAATTCCATGCGGGCTTTCCATTGCTTCTCGCTCTCCGAGTAGGAGCGGAACTGCTCCGCGAAGTCGGCCGCCTGCCGCACACCCGATACCAGCTCTTCCACCGCGGCGGCGGCAGCGGCGGCCGCCTCGCCCCCGACCATGGCACCCAGGACGCCGAGGAGGCCTCCGCCGCCTTCCCGACGTGCACCGCGCCACCGCCCTCCGGCCAGAGCGGCCCCGGCGGCGCGCGACTGCTCCGGAGCTCTGACCTGGAGGAGCGCCCTCGCCTGGCGCGGCGGCCTGCGCGGGGCTGCCGGCCTGGGGTCCGCCGGGGGCCGCTCACGGGCCTACCGGGCGCGAGGAGCCGGGGGCAGAACCGAGCCCCGCGTCCGCCCCGAAACCACCGTGGGCAGACAGATGCCAGCGGGAGCCACGCCAGTGTCCGCTTGTCCTGAGGGCTCCCCGGACACCGCCCCATCCCTAATGACATCAGGATACCCAGGCCGGTGCCAGGAACAGATGCCGTCACTTCTGGGGACTCGGCTCTGGCTGACCGACTCCAGGGGTCTCCCAGGTGGGAGTCTGAGGGAGGAGGGAGTGTGGAGGCAAAAAGCTCTCTTTGTGAGGACAGCAACTGTGTGTGACCCTGACAAAATGGCCATTTTAGCTTGTTGGTTTTTGATATAAATGCCAACACCAGGCTGTCAATTTCTTGTCAGACACGTGCGGGGATTGTATTGAGCTAACAGTTAAGGACTGGTGTTGTGGCACAAGGAGTTAAAGTGCCCTTGTGAAGTCGACGTGCTTATGAGCACAGATTGGAGCTCCAACTCCATTTCTGATCCAGCTCCCTGCTCGCGCACCTGGGAAGGCCCAGCAGAGCTCCAGTGCTGGGGCCCTGCACCCATGTGGGAGAGAAATCCAGATAATAACAGCTCCAGGCTCCTTGCCTCTGCCTGGTCTGGCCCAGGCTACGTGTTGTGGCTATTTGGGGTGTGAAGTACTAAATAGAACACTTCTCTTTCTCTCTGTCTCTTCCTGCAACTCTGCCTTTCAGATGAATGAGTAAATAGATCTTTAAAAAAGAACCTCTAGCTAATTCAAGAATTAACATTAAGAATTAATGTGGGGCATGGTGTGATAGCCTAGCGGCTAAAATGCTTGCTTTGCATGTGCCAGGATCCCCTATGGGCACCAGGTCATGTCGCAGATGCTCCACCTCCGTTCCAGTTCTTTGTGGCCTGGGAAAACAGTGGAGGATGGCCCAAGGCCTTGGGACCCTGCGCTTGTATGCTCTTGGCTCCTGGCTCCAGATTGGCTTAGTTCTGGCCTTTGTGAACACTTGGGGAGTGAGTCAGCGGAAGGAAGATCCTTCTCTCTGTCTCTCCTTCTCTCTGTAAATCTGACTTTCCAATTAAAAAACAAACAAACAAACAAACACAAGTACATGTGAAAAGTAAGAATTAAAAAAAAATTTAATGTAAATATAGTATCTTCCTACCCATGAGCATGATATATTCTATACTTATCTTGATGTTTAAAGGAAGTGAAACTTTGAATTCATACGCTCTGTTTGTTCTCCACTCCTTATCTGTCTCTTAGCAGCCCTCTGGATTTATGTTCCTTCTATCTGGATTTTCCTTGGTACAAGCCTGCTGGAGTCAAACGCCCTTTTTGCCCTTCTGAAAGCGCGTTCCTTTGGCCTTTTCTATGAGTGTCGTGACTGCGTAACAGAAGTCCAGAAGTCAACGACTGAGAATAGTCAGCAGTTCTTATCGCCCAGTTCCCGTGACGGGAATTCACTCATCTCTGGAGGTGCATTCCAGCTCTTGTGCTTGTCTGAGGATCAGCCTGGGGAAAGGTCTGTCCAGGGCAGGAGGATGCACCTATGGCATGACTCACTCCTCCTGATTACACGGACCTCCCCTGAGCAGCCTAAGTCCTCCTGTGGGCAGAGTGAGGCAGCAGCCACCCAGCAGGAGCCCAGCAGGAGCCCAGCAGGAGCCCAGGTCCTGGCCATCACCTCTGCCTTCCTCCATCCACTTGCGATGAGTCACTGAGGCTAGCACATGGTTATCAGGGAGTCAAATCACACTCCACCCTTTCCAAAGAACGTCAGAGGATTTCTGACTGTTCTTTCAACCACCCGACCTCCTCCCTGGCATCTTCGCTTTCTCTTCCTCTGCCTCCTGAGATTGTTGTCTAAAACATTCCTAACCAATATTCTCATTGGAAGCACAGTACTCTTAAGCTCACTGAGGATAATCCTGAGAATCTCTCTTCATGTTTATCATTAGTTGATTTTTTTGTGACTGTATTCCACTGATTAGTCGGTCTAATGACCACCTCAATAGTCGTGTCTCCAGTATTTTCCCATTAGTGGCTGCTGTTCTGTCCAAGTCTGTCTTTAGCATTTTAGGGAAGTGTCCAATGGCTAAATCCTCTCCTTGCAAGTGCCAGCATCCCATCTGGGCACTGATTCATATCCTGACCGCTCTGCTTCCCATCCAGCTGCCTGCTTGTAGCCTGGGAAAGCAATCAAGGACATCCCAAAACCTTGGGACCCTGCACCCATGTGGAAGACCTGGAAGAATCTCCTGGCTCCTGGCTTGGGATTGGCTCAGCTCCAGCTGTTGCTATCATCTGGGGAGTAAATCAGCGGATGGAAGATCTTTCCATCTGTCCCTCTCTGTGTAAATCTGTCTTTCCAATAAAAATAAATAAATCTTAAAAAAAAAAAAAGATGAATTAGGGGCCAGCACCCTGGTGTAGCAAGATAAGCCTTGCCTGCAGTGGAGGCATCTTATATGGACACTGGCCTCCTGGTTGCTCCACTTCAAATCTAGCTCCTTTTTAATGGGCTAGGAAAGCAGCAGAGGATAGCTCAAGTCCCTGGGAGACTAACACAGGATATGGATTGGCTCGGCTCCAGTTGTGACCATTTGGTGAGTGAACTAGCGGATGGAAGATCCTTGTCCCTGTCTCCCTCTGTAGCTCTGCCTTTCAAGTACAACTAAATCATCTTTTTAAAAAATTAGCCAAGGATAGGCATTTGATGTGGTGCTTAAGATGCCAATTGAGTTGCTATAATCTTTTTTTGAAATTCAATGCCCCTTCCTTTCTTTTTAACATTTAAATTTGTATTTATTTTCATTTTATTTGAAAGACAGAGAGAAGGAAAGACAGAGATCTTGCATCCATTCATTCACTCCCCCATAGGCCCTCAACAGCTAGAATGGGGCCAGAAGCCTGGAACTGCGGATGAACAATGACTTAGGGTCTGCGACCTAGCCCTGCTGCCTCCCAGGGGGCACATGAATAAGAAGCTGAAACTCCAGCTGGCACTCCAACATGGGAAGTGCCTTTACCACTGAACAAACACCTGCCCTTCTGCCCACCATTGCTTTCTTTGCAACTGTTATGGTGAGGGAGCCTGAAGGGGTGACATATGACAATGATATCCTTTGATTTCTTTCCGGATTTAGAGATGTTTGAAGGCTTAAAGGGTGGAAGGGGGTACTTATTGACTTATTTGAAAGGCAGAGTTATGGAAAGAGAGGGAGAGACCCTCTGTCTGCTGGTTCTCTCCCCAAACAGCTGCACTGGCAGGGCTCTTCAGGCATATTAGCACAGAGGCAGACCGAGATGCTGGTGTCCCGGGTGGCTTAACCTGCTATGGGCTACTTCCTTGGAGCTTCTGGCCCAGGCTTGACCTCCTTCTTGCAGGAATGTCCACAGGGTGTGTGCTGGGGGGTAGACAGCTGGGGCTGGGGAAAGGACCTCAGACATGGGTCAGATGAGGGCAGTCCTTCTCTGGATTTCAGCAGCCAGCTAGGCAGAGGAGAGCGCTTCTGCCCATTACTGTTCTCAGGGTTTCTTACAGTCCTTGCTCTAAGACAAGGTAACCATGACTAAAACTTTTGTTTCTCCACTGTCCCCAGAAATCATGCTTTGCTCCATTTTTTCTTAAAGGTTTATTTTCATTTGAAAGAGTTAAGAGCGAGAAAGACAGTCTGATCTTCCACCCGCTGGTTTTACTCCCCACATAGCCACAACAGTCGGAGCTGGGCAAGGCAGAAGCCAGGAATTTGGGTTGCCTACATAGTTGCAGGGGCCTAAGGACTCCAGACATTCTCACTGCTTTCCTAGGCCATTAGCAGGGGACTCCATAAGAAATACAGCAGCCAGAACTCCAACAGGTGCCTACATGAGATGCAGCATAATTGCAGACAGAGGTTTAACATGCTTGCCAGCCCCTCAGTGGAGTTTTTCAGAGAGGAAGGGAGTGACTCCTGGAGCCCTTGAAGTCCCATGAAGCTATACACCCCTCCTCCCAAGGCTCCCCACCAGCCTTCCTGGCCCTTTTCTGTCCACAGCAGTATCATGATACTCCCAGGTTCATCAAATACAGAGTTTTCAGGTTTGTTGTTAAGTTTGGGACTTCATGGAGCTAAGCTGCTGCCATGTTCTTTCAACAATGGAACGCTTTCCTCATTATGTTTCATGCAAATACTTAATACTACCACGACTTTAAGCTTTTAGCTACGCTTCTGTGGATATGCCAGCTCCCCCTACCCCCCCCCCCACCGCCCCACATCTTTTTCAATAAATTCTAGAAGTAGAATTCCTGAATCAAAAGAACTTGTACCCTTTTAAGGCTTTGACAGTTTGGTCAAATTATGCTCCAGTGGCAGTCACCAGAGGCAGTTTCGCTCCCTGAAGAAGGAATCGCATCCCTGCAATTCCACACCCTTGATTTTCCAGGCTCACCAAGCAGCCGGTGTTCTCCCCATGTAGCCCCCCTCCCAACTCCCTGAACCCCAATTTCTTTGCTGATGTCAAATCCTGTGGCTCAGAACTCCTGGCTTTCAAACATGGGCCTGGGAAAACAACCAGCGAAAATTGACCCTTCAGCACTTGCAGCTCTTCTGTGCTGATTTTGATCTTTTGCAAAAAGGATCAGAGAGATGGGGGTGTTAGGATGGCAGAAAAGAGGCAGGAGTTCCAGCAGGTTGAAACCCCTCTGGATGGTAGGAGCACTGAGCCATGGATCCCAGAGCTGCCTTTTCTTGCCACCACAGGCAGCAGAGGAAGTAAGTTAAAGTCCCCAAAGTCCCAAAAGGGCCAGGAAGAAAAAGAATATTGATTTTCCTGCATAGACAACAAAACAGTTCCAAAAGAGCCACATGAA